TCCGTGGGTTGAACAGTTTTTTACGGCCTCGCAGGTTACTGTGTCATGAAAAAAAGCATATTGAAATATTAGATATAAAAATAAGCAACGCAAACCTCAAATTGTTTTAAAAAATTTTTAGTTTTGCAAAGCATGTCATTCTGTTTTTGTGAGCTCGTATTGTTTTTCAGAAACTAGATACTACAAAATAAAACGTGTGAAATTTAGAGACGTTGACATGATCTGTGGTAACCCATGGCAACATTAAACCAGCCAAGCTTTAAAATAGCATGAAGTCCATAAACAGATTTAAGAAACTTATCATAGAAAGAAACTATTTCCTGTAATGCAGCAACAATCTCATAAATCCTGGGGAGGTACATTACGTAATACTAGCATATCAAACAAGAAAGACGGTCTTTAACCACATATCCAAACACCGGAAAGAGAGTTGAAAATATGACGCGTAGCGGAGTATTTTTGACGAACTTTATTGTGTTTCTATATGTGATGAAACATTGCCCTGAGTGTTTGATACATCTTTTCAATCGAAACTAAAACTAAGGAGAGAATGGAGAAATAAACTCGTGCAAATCTACGCTAATTAAGATCAGATATCCAAATACCGTCACGGTCATGATTTCCTTCGTTTGAACTTAATGAATTATTAATGAGTTTGAGAAAATACAAATGAAATACCTTGTGAGCAGTTTAATCCTTTAAAACCACTGTGGCACGAGCAGACATTAGGGCCACTACAGTTACCGCGATATAAACAGTGATTCAGCAATTCACAAGAAACTACAACGGAAAATGAAAATTACAAACTTTATTAAAATGGTTCATTAAGCAAAGAAGTGGGCTGGTCCGGAGGTATTACAAGCTAATCTAGGCGGCCAGACTCACAACTACAAAAGGAGAAGTCACTATAATTACATTCAGAAAGATAAGGAAGGAATTTAGAAGCGATAAAGAAAACACGAGTGAGCGATGTCAGGTGAGGTTAAAGAACCAATAGTTGAAATTTTGAAACTATTACTATTTAGCTAGACCGACTGTTTGCATTTCAATGTAGTCATTTTAACTTACCACTGAGAAAATCAAAGAGAAGCCGTCGAGTAAACTTCTGGGTTTTAGCAAAAAAATTTGTCTATATGGCTGTATAGTAAAAACGTCAATATGCATAACATCTCTTGAGTAGTAACTAAGTAATGATTATTGTACCTTTAGAGCAGTCTGGAGCAGTTTTAAAGCCTTCTTCACAAGTGCATTTGTTTGGACCAGTGCAGATTCCATGATTTGCGCAGTTGTTCAACTCCTCACAAGATACTATTTCAGATGAGAAGGAAAACATTAACAATCAATGCATCAGCTAATTTTGAACGACTTTTTAAAGTTTCTACATAAGCTTCCCTCAGTAACGTTTTAACAAATAAAATGACCTCGCCTTTGGGAAAATCAACTGAGCCCGCGGTACATACCTTCGGAGCAATTAATTCCTTTGAATCCGCTATAGCAAGAACATTCATTGGGTCCGCTACATGCGCCATGATCTGAACAGTGGTTTACCAGTTCACAAGAAACTGCAAGGAAATATTAACATCCAGGCAATACGCTATTAGTATAAAGAAAAAAGAAAAAAATAGGCCAAAGAAAATAAGCGCGCCGATTGGTTTAAAATCATGTTTCTATTTAACAACTGGATTATAAGCTCGAGATTTCTATCGCGTGATAGTTGACGAGGGCGCAGCCCGTGTCAGCTTCTCTTGCACGCATAGAAATCGAGAGCGGATAATCTAATTGTTTTAGTGTAAATCTACTAGTCGTCCAAAACTTTATCTAAATCCTCTTTACAGAGACCTCGAAAACGCAAAAAAAGCGGCCCTCATTTTGTGCATTTTGTTTGCACACTGCTATGCTACTTACTATCTACATCAGAATCAATAGTGAGTAGCATAGCCAATCAGAGAGCAGCATTCGTGGTAGAACGCTAGTAGATTTATACTAAAACTTGATAGAAACGCGGTTCCTGTTTTCTGTTTCTTAAATACAGAAAACTCTCTTTAAATTTAGACAAAATAATAAAAAGAAGAAGCATGTCATTAAATAACCTCGCCGCGTTCGGTCCGTGTACCATTTATAAACGACGGACAAACATTTCTCCTTCCCGATCCCAACGTACTTCTTTTGAGTAACACAACATAACTCTTTTGCTTCTCCATTGTAACACAAAATATCAATGAAATGATGCTATACGAGAATAAGAAAAATTGACCTTTCAGACCTCATTGACAACAATGCCAAACTGCAGGCTATTTAAATCGTGAACAGAATCACTTCATATTGTTTTATAGTATTTATTATTATGCTGTATACAAGTATTTATCAATTTTTGTAAACTGTTCATTAGCTATTGACTTAAGTTAGGTGTCCGCAATTAGCAAATTTATAGCTAAATTCATTGACACATTAATAAAGTTTTCATTCATTCATTCATTCATATTGACACATTTTTGACACATTTTGGCAGTGACGATGTATGGAAAACTACTTGTGCTGTTGGTCGTTGGGTTTTGTTAACATCCATCAAAAATACACTTGCATTGAGCAGCAAAAAATGATTTACCTTGTGAACAGCCAACACTTTTGAATCCGCTATCACAAACGCACATATTTGGGCCAGTGCAAATTCCATGTCCAGAACAATTTCCCACTTCTTCGCAGGAAACTAGTGAAAATAAACGAGCAGAACAAATAATTAGATTTAGAGTAGGACATGCGATTTATGAGTTTCAAAAGCGTAAATCAAACGATGGGAGAAGAAAACAAACCTGATGAACAATCCAGGGATCCTTTATATCCACTTTCACATTCACAAGTATTTACTTTGCTGCACTTTCCATGTCCGGAGCAGTTATTCACCGCCTCACAAGTAACTACAACGAGAGATAAAGTTGAACATTAAACATACTCGAGGAAAAAACAGATCACAGAATGCAATAGCAATAACATAGCTCGAACATGATTGTACGGCAAGAGAGCTAGAGCTTTAGAGCTTTTTAGGGAGCGGGGAGGGCGCAGTGGTGAGAGCGCTCGCTTCCCACCGATGCGGCCCGGGTTCGATTCCGGCCCAGTGCCATATGTGGGTTGAGTTTGTTGTTGGTTCTCGCCTTGCTCCGAGGTAAATAAATAAATAAATAAATAAAAACGGTATACCCGTTGGTTAGATTCCCCTTTGGGTCACTAACTCCGAACACAACGGGAGCTGTTACGTTCGAAATTCTAAGGTAGTAAAAACTATAGTTATTAAAAACTATTAATTTGCTTATCTAATAAGAAATTTAAGTTCAAAATTATAAACTGAAGTTACAATTGTTTCAACAGGTTAATTACGTTAATTAATTATCTAGCTGGTATAGTTGATCGCGCTATGACAACCATTATTATTTCTAATTCCTTGGGAATAACGTGACAAAATTTACACAGCTGAGTACTCGAAATGAATATAACATCATTAAATATTCACGAACACGTATTATCAGGAATTGGTTTTAAAAACGGTATTTATCTTAGCAAATGTATCATATCTAACATGATTGCTGATCAAATTTAACAAATATGTAACTTACAGGTCGATCTCTAAAAGAGTCGAATTCTTTCACGAAGATATCCTTCAGCATCTCCGGGTCTGCAATCACCAAGTTTGGAATCTTTCCGAGGAAAGACGACATGGCGAATACCTTGCCGTATTTTAGAAAGTATTCGTGCACCTGAAGGTGTAGTTGTCCTTTGTGCTTTATCGTGTCCAGTAAATGACCTAAAACCGGCAAAGGTTTTGGTCCGCGGATACTATCTCCGTACCAAGTTTTCATTGATCGGTAGGAAGCCAAGGAATACAGAACAAGCAAGAAGGTGGAAGGAATCAATATTGTCAGCCAGTGATGCACCATCGCTTCCGATACACCTTGTAAGAATTCTATCAACGCCATATTACCTACCCAAGATTTGTTGTTTTTGTTGTTGTTTTATATAAATCCGAGTGACTCGGCCAGAGTAGGATTAGAAATATTGTTAAGGTTAGGTTGTGATCTGCCTGTCGGTTCCACAGTATTGCCTTTTTTGCTGTTCGATCTGGCTATCAATATTCGCATATCACTCGATCCGGCCAGGATGGTGTGAAGTGTTTTAGAATTGTAAATTAAAAATACAGAGGTCGAGACAAGGGCTGCTAAAAGGGTGCTCACAAAAAAATCAAAGCCGAGATCAGAATATCCCACATGTAAATGCGGTGGATCTTAAAGCAGCCATGTATCATTATTTGTAATTTTGTAATATATACCCCTTTAAAGGTTAATGTTTTCTTATTTGCATTATAATAAAATTCAACGTGGACGCGAGGCAATTTCAGGCAAAAACAACAAAATCGACCTGGTCCACGTTGGATTATATTATGATGTTATTTAGCCTGAAATGGGCTATTGTTTGGAACCCGGAAACTTTCGGAAACTTCTCGGAGCTTATTTTCGATCGTTTTTACGAGTCTTGATTCGCCGAGCCTGTACGATTTGCGCGTCTTGAAAAGTTAAGCCCAAATTTTTCAAGCTCGTCGTTTGTAATCCGTGTTAATCTTCTTCATCCTTTACCGTCCTTGTTCCTTTATAGTTTATTATTACCTCTTTGGTGTTTTTCTATCTCAGTAAACTACTATTTTCAGGTTTCCTTCAGTTTAAAGATAATTTTATACGTGGCCAAAATAACTCAAAATACCGTGACTGAGCTCCTTTAAAGTCGTTGTCGCAGCGATCGCTAGCTACGATCACTGAACGTTTTTCCTTGCGATCGTAGCAATTGAGCTGTATCGTAGGAATCATGTGAAAAGAAACCCTAAGCACGCGACTGTATCAGTGAATGGTTTGGGACTTCCTGTTCATCGTGGCAGAGAAATGTTGAATTTTAAAATTTAGAGTGTAAATAAATATCTACATTTAAAGTGTTAAAATACGCCAAAGAAACACTAGCGCTTTCACAAAGCAGTTACACCAGATTTATTTCTTTTTAAAAAAATGCCGGTAAATACAAGCGATACTATATCAAGGAAGCTGTATAATTTCCCGTCTAACTTTCTAGTATAATTTTTGCGTATATAATTTCGATTGTATTTATGCGCTTCTTGGGTTTAACACTTTGAAAACATATTTTGTCACGAAAATTTCCTTGATTGCAATTCTATGATAGCCGATCGAATAATACTCTACTGTTACCAGCATAGTAATAAAATCTCTATTGAGAAGCGCAATAAGATGACCTGACAATTAGTGGGTTTAAATCCGGATCGAAAGAGCTAGATCCCGGGAGGGGAGGTGTGGAGGGGGGGGAAGGGAACTCCCATTAGAAAAGGTCAGTGATGCTCGTTGGAAAATAGACTATTTTCCTATATTGGCTTTTGGACTGGAACTAGCTTGCAATGGAGGCTCATGCGCGCGGGGGGATGTCATCAGGTCATTAAATAGAGGTGAATGTCATTTGTATTTGCATACGTTTTAGCCTTTGGTACACGCTAGTTCCAGTCCAATACCGAGAATACAAAATGGTGTATTTAACTAAAGACCTCTAAAAAAGACCAATCCGGGCGTGACTCGAGCTTTATTTGACCCCTAAAAGATATCACTTTAAAAAACCGGACATGACAGCTTTTTTTAATGTTTCTTCGAGGATAACTCTAAAATATACCTTGGCAGCTAAAAATAATGGCCTTTCGTCCTGAACACCCTGAGACCAAAATCAGTAATTTACACCCCTGAGCGAAACGACGAACATTCCCGAGCTTTATACATGGGAGTACCCCCACCCCCAGGTAGGGGCTGGGTTCCAGTTTGGCCAAAACCTTTGCGAAACCATTTCACTACGCCTCTAATCCGAAAGAAATAGTAATTCAGCTCCTGTTCCCTTTCATGTACAGGAAGTGTAAAAAACTGTTAACTTAATGATAAGCCAGCCAGGACTGGAAGAAACCGTTTCTAAACGTGTCCACTAATTGTCAAATCAGCTCTTCTATGTTACATTAACCGTATCATTGTCACGACTATTATAAATCACGCCTTTTTATGGTATACATAGCATGAATAGTGGCAAACAACAATAATATCACATCACTTCACTTCACAATAGTTGTCTCCCTAGTTATAAGCTCTTACGATTAAATTTGTCATGTCAGCTTATGTAATCGAGAATAAACAAGTGACGCTGCTATATTGTTTTATTCTTATCATTATTACTATCATTATCATTATCATTATCATTATCATTATCATTATCACTATCACTGTCACTATCACTATCTATCATTATCATTATTATTATTTTATTGCAAAAACACATAATTACACATAATTACATTATACTTAATCTACTTACAAAACGGCACAATACTGACTCTACTCACAATACAATACAACGCTGTTATATTTTTACATGAACAAAGTCATAACGTATGGTCGTCGACTTCTACGTCATCGTCTTCATCGCCGTTGTTATCATTATCGTCATCGTCGTCTTCATCTCCATCAAATCGCGTCAGAACTGATTGGTTCCTAGCCTTTCAGCGGAGCCGCTGCGTAAGCCTCGTTTTCGAAGGACTTGAGGGCAAATGTGTTAGCTTGTTTGCTACGCGATTTACGTCGACGCCTGATCGTTCTCTTCCGGTAACAATAAAATGGAATCATACACAAAAGTAAACCAAACACGAAGCTTCCAACTGAGATCCCAACAACAACTTCTTTGCTTAATCCCACGAGACCTTCACCTTGCAGTTCTGAAAGAAATAAAAACACAAACAATTAAAATGTATTAAAAAGCTTAAAATGGTAATCCACATTTATAAGCTTAAGACCGAAATGGTAATGGGGAAGGGGTCGTCAGGACTTCCATATACGGATTGATCGTTGTACATTTTAAGGACACCGCTCATTAGATAGTGCAGTTGTTAACAGAATGGCGGACGCTTCTTTGTGAAGAGGATTTAGATAAATTTTTGAACGACTAATAGATTTATACTAAAACAATATAAAATTACTGGTTCTCGATTTGATTGAAATCTCGAGCTCATAATGACCACGGCTGTAAAGTATAGAGCCCGTATGTCTCAGATGTTGTGTTTCCAGCACAATCACCGCCCCTTCTCAAGTGTAAACATTTTCGCTTTTTCGTGCTATACTCTTAACCAAATAGAAGATGGTGATCTTATGTTTTCTAAGAAAATAACGCACTTTTGAGGTCTAGAGGAACTGCTGAACGCGGTCGCGTTCCGCTCTTGCGTCCACTAGCTGCAGTCTTTTTTCTTGGTTTTTAGTCTGCATTACTTCCTTAGAGAACATTCATCACCACATTCTATTTGTTAAATTGCTCAATCATATACCTTCCGAGCAATCAGCTCCATGGAAACCTCTTTCACAAGTGCATAAGTTTGGTCCAGCGCAGGTTCCGTGGGTTGAACAGTTTTTTACGGCCTCGCAGGTTACTGTGTCATGAAAAAAAGCATATTGAAATATTAGATATAAAAATAAGCAACGCAAACCTCAAATTGTTTTAAAAAATTTTTAGTTTTGCAAAGCATGTCATTCTGTTTTTGTGAGCTCGTATTGTTTTTCAGAAACTAGATACTACAAAATAAAACGTGTGAAATTTAGAGACGTTGACATGATCTGTGGTAACCCATGGCAACATTAAACCAGCCAAGCTTTAAAATAGCATGAAGTCCATAAACAGATTTAAGAAACTTATCATAGAAAGAAACTATTTCCTGTAATGCAGCAACAATCTCATAAATCCTGGGGAGGTACATTACGTAATACTAGCATATCAAACAAGAAAGACGGTCTTTAACCACATATCCAAACACCGGAAAGAGAGTTGAAAATATGACGCGTAGCGGAGTATTTTTGACGAACTTTATTGTGTTTCTATATGTGATGAAACATTGCCCTGAGTGTTTGATACATCTTTTCAATCGAAACTAAAACTAAGGAGAGAATGGAGAAATAAACTCGTGCAAATCTACGCTAATTAAGATCAGATATCCAAATACCGTCACGGTCATGATTTCCTTCGTTTGAACTTAATGAATTATTAATGAGTTTGAGAAAATACAAATGAAATACCTTGTGAGCAGTTTAATCCTTTAAAACCACTGTGGCACGAGCAGACATTAGGGCCACTACAGTTACCGCGATATAAACAGTGATTCAGCAATTCACAAGAAACTACAACGGAAAATGAAAATTACAAACTTTATTAAAATGGTTCATTAAGCAAAGAAGTGGGCTGGTCCGGAGGTATTACAAGCTAATCTAGGCGGCCAGACTCACAACTACAAAAGGAGAAGTCACTATAATTACATTCAGAAAGATAAGGAAGGAATTTAGAAGCGATAAAGAAAACACGAGTGAGCGATGTCAGGTGAGGTTAAAGAACCAATAGTTGAAATTTTGAAACTATTACTATTTAGCTAGACCGACTGTTTGCATTTCAATGTAGTCATTTTAACTTACCACTGAGAAAATCAAAGAGAAGCCGTCGAGTAAACTTCTGGGTTTTAGCAAAAAAATTTGTCTATATGGCTGTATAGTAAAAACGTCAATATGCATAACATCTCTTGAGTAGTAACTAAGTAATGATTATTGTACCTTTAGAGCAGTCTGGAGCAGTTTTAAAGCCTTCTTCACAAGTGCATTTGTTTGGACCAGTGCAGATTCCATGATTTGCGCAGTTGTTCAACTCCTCACAAGATACTATTTCAGATGAGAAGGAAAACATTAACAATCAATGCATCAGCTAATTTTGAACGACTTTTTAAAGTTTCTACATAAGCTTCCCTCAGTAACGTTTTAACAAATAAAATGACCTCGCCTTTGGGAAAATCAACTGAGCCCGCGGTACATACCTTCGGAGCAATTAATTCCTTTGAATCCGCTATAGCAAGAACATTCATTGGGTCCGCTACATGCGCCATGATCTGAACAGTGGTTTACCAGTTCACAAGAAACTGCAAGGAAATATTAACATCCAGGCAATACGCTATTAGTATAAAGAAAAAAGAAAAAAATAGGCCAAAGAAAATAAGCGCGCCGATTGGTTTAAAATCATGTTTCTATTTAACAACTGGATTATAAGCTCGAGATTTCTATCGCGTGATAGTTGACGAGGGCGCAGCCCGTGTCAGCTTCTCTTGCACGCATAGAAATCGAGAGCGGATAATCTAATTGTTTTAGTGTAAATCTACTAGTCGTCCAAAACTTTATCTAAATCCTCTTTACAGAGACCTCGAAAACGCAAAAAAAGCGGCCCTCATTTTGTGCATTTTGTTTGCACACTGCTATGCTACTTACTATCTACATCAGAATCAATAGTGAGTAGCATAGCCAATCAGAGAGCAGCATTCGTGGTAGAACGCTAGTAGATTTATACTAAAACTTGATAGAAACGCGGTTCCTGTTTTCTGTTTCTTAAATACAGAAAACTCTCTTTAAATTTAGACAAAATAATAAAAAGAAGAAGCATGTCATTAAATAACCTCGCCGCGTTCGGTCCGTGTACCATTTATAAACGACGGACAAACATTTCTCCTTCCCGATCCCAACGTACTTCTTTTGAGTAACACAACATAACTCTTTTGCTTCTCCATTGTAACACAAAATATCAATGAAATGATGCTATACGAGAATAAGAAAAATTGACCTTTCAGACCTCATTGACAACAATGCCAAACTGCAGGCTATTTAAATCGTGAACAGAATCACTTCATATTGTTTTATAGTATTTATTATTATGCTGTATACAAGTATTTATCAATTTTTGTAAACTGTTCATTAGCTATTGACTTAAGTTAGGTGTCCGCAATTAGCAAATTTATAGCTAAATTCATTGACACATTAATAAAGTTTTCATTCATTCATTCATTCATATTGACACATTTTTGACACATTTTGGCAGTGACGATGTATGGAAAACTACTTGTGCTGTTGGTCGTTGGGTTTTGTTAACATCCATCAAAAATACACTTGCATTGAGCAGCAAAAAATGATTTACCTTGTGAACAGCCAACACTTTTGAATCCGCTATCACAAACGCACATATTTGGGCCAGTGCAAATTCCATGTCCAGAACAATTTCCCACTTCTTCGCAGGAAACTAGTGAAAATAAACGAGCAGAACAAATAATTAGATTTAGAGTAGGACATGCGATTTATGAGTTTCAAAAGCGTAAATCAAACGATGGGAGAAGAAAACAAACCTGATGAACAATCCAGGGATCCTTTATATCCACTTTCACATTCACAAGTATTTACTTTGCTGCACTTTCCATGTCCGGAGCAGTTATTCACCGCCTCACAAGTAACTACAACGAGAGATAAAGTTGAACATTAAACATACTCGAGGAAAAAACAGATCACAGAATGCAATAGCAATAACATAGCTCGAACATGATTGTACGGCAAGAGAGCTAGAGCTTTAGAGCTTTTTAGGGAGCGGGGAGGGCGCAGTGGTGAGAGCGCTCGCTTCCCACCGATGCGGCCCGGGTTCGATTCCGGCCCAGTGCCATATGTGGGTTGAGTTTGTTGTTGGTTCTCGCCTTGCTCCGAGGNTTGAGCTGTATCGTAGGAATCATGTGGGAAGAAACCCTAAGCACGCGACTGTATCAGTGAATGGTTTGGGACTTCCTGTTCATCGTGGCAGAGAAATGTTGAATTTTAAAATTTAGAGTGTAAATAAATATCTACATTTAAAGTGTTAAAATACGCCAAAGAAACACTAGCGCTTTCACAAAGCAGTTACACCAGATTTATTTCTTTTTAAAAAAATGCCGGTAAATACAAGCGATACTATATCAAGGAAGCTGTATAATTTCCCGTCTAACTTTCTAGTATAATTTTTGCGTATATAATTTCGATTGTATTTATGCGCTTCTTGGGTTTAACACTTTGAAAACATATTTTGTCACGAAAATTTCCTTGATTGCAATTCTATGATAGCCGATCGAATAATACTCTACTGTTACCAGCATAGTAATAAAATCTCTATTGAGAAGCGCAATAAGATGACCTGACAATTAGTGGGTTTAAATCCGGATCGAAAGAGCTAGATCCCGGGAGGGGAGGTGTGGAGGGGGGGGAAGGGAACTCCCATTAGAAAAGGTCAGTGATGCTCGTTGGAAAATAGACTATTTTCCTATATTGGCTTTTGGACTGGAACTAGCTTGCAATGGAGGCTCATGCGCGAGGGGGGATGTCATCAGGTCATTAAATAGAGGTGAATGTCATTTGCATTTGCATACGTTTTAGCCTTTGGTACACGCTAGTTCCAGTCCAATACCGAGAATACAAAATGGTGTATTTAACTAAAGACCTCTAAAAAAGACCAATCCGGGCGTGACTCGAGCTTTATTTGACCCCTAAAAGATATCACTTTAAAAAACCGGACATGACAGCTTTTTTTAATGTTTCTTCGAGGATAACTCTAAAATATACCTTGGCAGCTAAAAATAATGGCCTTTCGTCCTGAACACCCTGAGACCAAAATCAGTAATTTACACCCCTGAGCGAAACGACGAACATTCCCGAGCTTTATACATGGGAGTACCCCCACCCCCAGGTAGGGGCTGGGTTCCAGTTTGGCCAAAACGTTTGCGAAACCATTTCACTACGCCTCTAATCCGAAAGAAATAGTAATTCAGCTCCTGTTCCCTTTCATGTACAGGAAGTGTAAAAAACTGTTAACTTAATGATAAGCCAGCCAGGACTGGAAGAAACCGTTTCTAAACGTGTCCACTAATTGTCAAATCAGCTCTTCTATGTTACATTAACCGTATCATTGTCACGACTATTATAAATCACGCCTTTTTATGGTATACATAGCATGAATAGTGGCAAACAACAATAATATCACATCACTTCACTTCACAATAGTTGTCTCCCTAGTTATAAGCTCTTACGATTAAATTTGTCATGTCAGCTTATGCAATCGAGAATAAACAAGTAACGCTGCTATATTGTTTTATTCTTTTCATTATTACTATCATTATCATTATCATTATCATTATCACTATCACTGTCACTATCACTATCTATCATTATCATTATCATTATTATTATTTTATTGCAAAAACACATAATTACACATATTAAATTACATTATACTTAATCTACTTACAAAACGGCACAATACTGACTCTACTCACAATACAATACAACGCTGTTATATTTTTACATGAACAAAGTCATAACGTATGGTCGTCGACTTCTACGTCATCGTCTTCATCGCCGTTGTTATCATTATCGTCATCGTCGTCTTCATCTCCATCAAATCGCGTCAGAACTGATTGGTTCCTAGCCTTTCAGCGGAGCCGCTGCGTAAGCCTCGTTTTCGAAGGACTTGAGGGCAAATGTGTTAGCTTGTTTGCTACGCGATTTACGTCGACGCCTGATCGTTCTCTTCCGGTAACAATAAAATGGAATCATACACAAAAGTAAACCAAACACGAAGCTTCCAACTGAGATCCCAACAACAACTTCTTTGCTTAATCCCACGAGACCTTCACCTTGCAGTTCTGAAAGAAATAAAAACACAAACAATTAAAATGTATTAAAAAGCTTAAAATGGTAATCCACATTTATAAGCTTAAGACCGAAATGGTAATGGGGAAGGGGTCGTCAGGACTTCCATATACGGATTGATCGTTGTACATTTTAAGGACACCGCTCATTAGATAGTGCAGTTGTTAACAGAATGGCGGACGCTTCTTTGTGAAGAGGATTTAGATAAATTTTTGAACGACTAATAGATTTATACTAAAACAATATAAAATTACTGGTTCTCGATTTGATTGAAATCTCGAGCTCATAATGACCACGGCTGTAAAGTATAGAGCCCGTATGTCTCAGATGTTGTGTTTCCAGCACAATCACCGCCCCTTCTCAAGTGTAAACATTTTCGCTTTTTCGTGCTATACTCTTAACCAAATAGAAGATGGTGATCTTATGTTTTCTAAGAAAATAACGCACTTTTGAGGTCTAGAGGAACTGCTGAACGCGGTCGCGTTCCGCTCTTGCGTCCACTAGCTGCAGTCTTTTTTCTTGGTTTTTAGTCTGCATTACTTCCTTAGAGAACATTCATCACCACATTCTATTTGTTAAATTGCTCAATCATATACCTTCCGAGCAATCAGCTCCATGGAAACCTCTTTCACAAGTGCATAAGTTTGGTCCAGCGCAGGTTCCGTGGGTTGAACAGTTTTTTACGGCCTCGCAGGTTACTGTGTCATGAAAAAAAGCATATTGAAATATTAGATATAAAAATAAGCAACGCAAACCTCAAATTGTTTTAAAAAATTTTTAGTTTTGCAAAGCATGTCATTCTGTTTTTGTGAGCTCGTATTGTTTTTCAGAAACTAGATACTACAAAATAAAACGTGTGAAATTTAGAGACGTTGACATGATCTGTGGTAACCCATGGCAACATTAAACCAGCCAAGCTTTAAAATAGCATGAAGTCCATAAACAGATTTAAGAAACTTATCATAGAAAGAAACTATTTCCTGTAATGCAGCAACAATCTCATAAATCCTGGGGAGGTACATTACGTAATACTAGCATATCAAACAAGAAAGACGGTCTTTAACCACATATCCAAACACCGGAAAGAGAGTTGAAAATATGACGCGTAGCGGAGTATTTTTGACGAACTTTATTGTGTTTCTATATGTGATGAAACATTGCCCTGAGTGTTTGATACATCTTTTCAATCGAAACTAAAACTAAGGAGAGAATGGAGAAATAAACTCGTGCAAATCTACGCTAATTAAGATCAGATATCCAAATACCGTCACGGTCATGATTTCCTTCGTTTGAACTTAATGAATTATTAATGAGTTTGAGAAAATACAAATGAAATACCTTGTGAGCAGTTTAATCCTTTAAAACCACTGTGGCACGAGCAGACATTAGGGCCACTACAGTTACCGCGATATAAACAGTGATTCAGCAATTCACAAGAAACTACAACGGAAAATGAAAATTACAAACTTTATTAAAATGGTTCATTAAGCAAAGAAGTGGGCTGGTCCGGAGGTATTACAAGCTAATCTAGGCGGCCAGACTCACAACTACAAAAGGAGAAGTCACTATAATTACATTCAGAAAGATAAGGAAGGAATTTAGAAGCGATAAAGAAAACACGAGTGAGCGATGTCAGGTGAGGTTAAAGAACCAATAGTTGAAATTTTGAAACTATTACTATTTAGCTAGACCGACTGTTTGCATTTCAATGTAGTCATTTTAACTTACCACTGAGAAAATCAAAGAGAAGCCGTCGAGTAAACTTCTGGGTTTTAGCAAAAAAATTTGTCTATATGGCTGTATAGTAAAAACGTCAATATGCATAACATCTCTTGAGTAGTAACTAAGTAATGATTATTGTACCTTTAGAGCAGTCTGGAGCAGTTTTAAAGCCTTCTTCACAAGTGCATTTGTTTGGACCAGTGCAGATTCCATGATTTGCGCAGTTGTTCAACTCCTCACAAGATACTATTTCAGATGAGAAGGAAAACATTAACAATCAATGCATCAGCTAATTTTGAACGACTTTTTAAAGTTTCTACATAAGCTTCCCTCAGTAACGTTTTAACAAATAAAATGACCTCGCCTTTGGGAAAATCAACTGAGCCCGCGGTACATACCTTCGGAGCAATTAATTCCTTTGAATCCGCTATAGCAAGAACATTCATTGGGTCCGCTACATGCGCCATGATCTGAACAGTGGTTTACCAGTTCACAAGAAACTGCAAGGAAATATTAACATCCAGGCAATACGCTATTAGTATAAAGAAAAAAGAAAAAAATAGGCCAAAGAAAATAAGCGCGCCGATTGGTTTAAAATCATGTTTCTATTTAACAACTGGATTATAAGCTCGAGATTTCTATCGCGTGATAGTTGACGAGGGCGCAGCCCGTGTCAGCTTCTCTTGCACGCATAGAAATCGAGAGCGGATAATCTAATTGTTTTAGTGTAAATCTACTAGTCGTCCAAAACTTTATCTAAATCCTCTTTACAGAGACCTCGAAAACGCAAAAAAAGCGGCCCTCATTTTGTGCATTTTGTTTGCACACTGCTATGCTACTTACTATCTACATCAGAATCAATAGTGAGTAGCATAGCCAATCAGAGAGCAGCATTCGTGGTAGAACGCTAGTAGATTTATACTAAAACTTGATAGAAACGCGGTTCCTGTTTTCTGTTTCTTAAATACAGAAAACTCTCTTTAAATTTAGACAAAATAATAAAAAGAAGAAGCATGTCATTAAATAACCTCGCCGCGTTCGGTCCGTGTACCATTTATAAACGACGGACAAACATTTCTCCTTCCCGATCCCAACGTACTTCTTTTGAGTAACACAACATAACTCTTTTGCTTCTCCATTGTAACACAAAATATCAATGAAATGATGCTATACGAGAATAAGAAAAATTGACCTTTCAGACCTCATTGACAACAATGCCAAACTGCAGGCTATTTAAATCGTGAACAGAATCACTTCATATTGTTTTATAGTATTTATTATTATGCTGTATACAAGTATTTATCAATTTTTGTAAACTGTTCATTAGCTATTGACTTAAGTTAGGTGTCCGCAATTAGCAAATTTATAGCTAAATTCATTGACACATTAATAAAGTTTTCATTCATTCATTCATTCATATTGACACATTTTTGACACATTTTGGCAGTGACGATGTATGGAAAACTACTTGTGCTGTTGGTCGTTGGGTTTTGTTAACATCCATCAAAAATACACTTGCATTGAGCAGCAAAAAATGATTTACCTTGTGAACAGCCAACACTTTTGAATCCGCTATCACAAACGCACATATTTGGGCCAGTGCAAATTCCATGTCCAGAACAATTTCCCACTTCTTCGCAGGAAACTAGTGAAAATAAACGAGCAGAACAAATAATTAGATTTAGAGTAGGACATGCGATTTATGAGTTTCAAAAGCGTAAATCAAACGATGGGAGAAGAAAACAAACCTGATGAACAATCCAGGGATCCTTTATATCCACTTTCACATTCACAAGTATTTACTTTGCTGCACTTTCCATGTCCGGAGCAGTTATTCACCGCCTCACAAGTAACTACAACGAGAGATAAAGTTGAACATTAAACATACTCGAGGAAAAAACAGATCACAGAATGCAATAGCAATAACATAGCTCGAACATGATTGTACGGCAAGAGAGCTAGAGCTTTAGAGCTTTTTAGGGAGCGGGGAGGGCGCAGTGGTGAGAGCGCTCGCTTCCCACCGATGCGGCCCGGGTTCGATTCCGGCCCAGTGCCATATGTGGGTTGAGTTTGTTGTTGGTTCTCGCCTTGCTCCGAGGGTATTCGGTTTCCCTCCCTCCCTAAAAACCAACATCTCCAAATTTCAATTTCACTAGGATAGAGGACCGGCATGAAAACCAGTTAAGGCTGATTTGACCTCCTTTCTAAATATTATATTTATTTTCATCTATTGATTTATTGATTTATCTTTTTTTGTAATGTTTTCTTACTATAAAGAAAGTTATTAAAGAGCTAAGTCGTATGCACTAGTAAAGCAATCTGCACTTTTAGCAAATTATGTAACCAACGCCAACCTGGAAGCCCGTAGTCCAAGCTCGTGCCAAGGGCGGGAAAACATGCAATCAGTGGCACGCGCGGGAAAAAATGTGGCCGGTAGAAAGCGCGGGAAGACATGTAAGCAGTGGCAGGCGAGGGAATGTCTGTACTGAACTAGTGGAAAGCGCAGGAAAACCCGTCCCCAGCGGTCAGCGCACGAAATATGCCGCCAGTTTAAAGCGTGAGAAAACTTGTGCCATCAGGTACCAAGCGCGGGAAAACATCTAACGCGGTGGGGTTTATTTAGTTAAACTATCTGTCAGACTAAAACGATATTCATGCTTGTGGAATTTTGCATCTAGTCATTAAAACACTGGTATCATGAACCTTACCACAGAATACCACATCAACAGTAACTGTCTTGTTTGCTTTGTCTCCATTAGAGTTTTCCTCGGCTATGGCGATGACACTCAGAATAAAGGGTTTTAATGTTCCATTAAAGGAAATAAACCAGCCAGGCGAGTTAGGTGGAACTTTCGTTTCATTCTCGTAAAATGATCGATAACCACTCGGTAAGCCCGAGAAGATAATCGTGAGATTCTCGGAACCATCTAAGTCAGTCGGGTGGCTTTCTACAGTTACGGGTATAATCTTTTCGCTGCTGTTCCAGTGATAACATGGAACACTGACATCGAGAAACGGAATGTCAGCAATGGCTTCGATCTTTATTTCGATTAGGTTACTGGCCATTTTTGTTTCCCTTGGTGTTGCGCCTTGTGCAGTGATATTAAATCTGACGACTCCTGAAAAGTCTTTTTCAGGCGTCATCCAAATATCACCAAACTCCTCATGCTCCAACGTGACGCGATTCCCACTCTGGTTTCCTTTACTGAAGGTAAATCCATGGGGAACTTCATCGATGAAGAGTTTCAAGGTGAAATTTTCATTGTAGCTGCTGTCGTCGAAATCCGGAATAAACGCGGAAAGGTATAACTGAGTGCGCATGTCTTCGCTGGTGTCGCTGTACATTGCGTCAATGATCGGAGTCTCAAACCGCAAAGGAAAATCTACAAATTAAAAAAAAACAGTGTAATTATGTATCAGGCTATAACTATAGGTTTTCAGACCTCTTGACTAAGTATAATTTTAATGGAGGTTTTATTCAAATCGTTCTCCCCCTCTCACTCTCTCTAAAATTCCGTTTTAACAATTACGTTAACCTTTCAAGGTGAGGAAACTTGTAATTTTATTAAATCAGAGGTTATCTGTGCCTGTTAAATAAAGCATACATATCGCAGCCTGTTATGTTTATTTTCAAGCGAACTAAAGTATTTTTTAAATAGGCCCCTTTAGACCAACCTCCCAAATGTCATGTTAATAAAAAAGCAACTCCACTGAAACTGAAACATGTTAAAAGTTAAGAGAGTTAAGCTTCAACTTTGCAGTTGTTTTGCTAGCGCTTAAGATACAAACTTTGAAGAGTTAGTTTGACAGATGTTTTTAATAGTGTAAAACTACTTCAATATTTACCGAGTGAGCAGTTAACTCCATAAAATCCGTCTTCACAGACACAGAAATTGAGGACGGAGCAGTTTCCATGACCAGAGCAGTTATTCAATCGTTCACAGGAAGCTGCAACGTCAAGTTGAAGCACTACATCAATTGAATACACAAACACAACATAACAACACCATTTGTTCCAAAACTAAGAGATATACGATTTAATTTAATGACCAAGTAAATTACCAGTATCCTTTGCGTTTCTAAGGCACGTAGAAAGAGTGAGCAAGGCCCCGGGAACTATAAAGAACTTTCAGTCGGCCTTTTGCTTCCGACGAACGCAACACTCCCGAAGTCGACCCAGTCCCTTCTCGTCTTAAACCCTCGCGCTCTATAATTACTAATTTTCCAGAGAAAAACTGATTGCAAGCAGTATGGGAATTAGCCCCAATACGTTCTCTTCAAAAAGAGAGAGAAGAGTGAGCAACATGCAGGACACAAGTTTGCGTCAGGGTTAATGGATAGAAAGTAGACTATATTCTATGCTGTGGGGGAGAGGGAGGGCGCTGTTGAGGAACTGCGCTTAGTCGCTTCATGCTTCAGCCACGAGGCACTAAAATTTCAAAACTTCTTTTCAGGCTACTACTAAACTACTTTTTTATAACACTGTTTCCACCAAGACGTACGTTTAGGAGGTGTAAAGTCCACTTTGATGACTCGATTCAAGTCCATTGGCTGTCTGTTACCCACGTGGTCAATGGCCAAAGCCAAAAGTGAGTACGTCTTCCCAGAGGGGAGGGGTAGGAAGGTTGTGTCGTCTGTTATACCGGAGAGCAGGGGAAGTAGGGATTGTTCTTGAAGCGGATCTGAAAAAAAAGGAACGAGTTTGAGCTCTTGAAAACTCTGTTTATCTGGTGTTAAATGGATTGATATACGTAATGCTATGTAAGGAGAATGTATATGTCGACATCACTACAATACTAAGCTGAAATTGTTGTCTTCTTTCTTTTAATTGCGTTTTCAATAAGGAAAAAAATAAAAATAAAATTTCCATATAAAACCAAGCATGTGTCGTCCAGTTTATTCGGAATCTGCCCAAACAACCAACCTAACAACTCCTCTTTGCAGACACCTCGTTATTACGAACAGTTGTTTGCTGATCTCGATGTGTTAAAAATTCACTCTTTTGAAAGTAACTTTCTCTATGTACGGATGCTTTTTATTTTCTCAAAAGTGTCCGTACGAGAATTAAAACTTACTTGACAATAGAAACGACAAAATGATAATCACTAGGTAACATGGGACATGTTGGGTTTTTTTCTGTTAGCACTCGGGAGCGACCTCGTTCCCAAGTCCATGAGAAAGAGGTTGGCTCTGGAGTCTAGGGTGATCGAGCAGTCCGGGTCCATGCTCTGGCCGAGGTCATTGTGTTGTGCTCTTAGTCAAGATACAGTGCGTCTTTCCTCTCGCAGGTGTATAAATGGGTACTGGTAGACTGTTATCAGGGGAAATCTCCCAAAATACTTCATCTGCGATGGAATAGAATCCCGTCCACTCCAGAATAATTAATCCATTCCCTGGCCTCTTTGCCCAAGGTATTTATGAATCAGTTACTTGTCAGACAATTCGAAAACTGGAAAATTTCCCTCAGCGATACGAAAACCAAGTTATGATGCGTAATGCATAAAGTAGCAAAAATTAGCAACAACCCACTTACCGTTACCCCCTGAGATTTGATACAATAAGTCCACGGACTGGACCCCAGACCCCTCATCTCTTGTCTCGATATCCACGGCCAATTTTCCAACCTTCATGATGTCATTAATGACAGAGATATTGGAGGAGGGGGTCGAACTGTCAATCTAGACGTAAGCATCATGGAAAACAAACAAGTGACATACTATAATAGAGAAAACTAAAATTCATTTCATGGTTATATATACGTGCACTCCACAGAGTACAAACAACGCGCGAAAGGGGTATCCGACGTGTAACGAATATTCAGCAGGATTTGTGCCCAAGGAAACCAGTTTAACAGGTTAGTTGCAGTCTTCTTTGTTTTGCTGAGCGCGCACAGCACAAGACAATGTTCAAAGTTTGTTTTTCAACGAATAAAATTATTGGATAATAAATGTTTAGACATTTTAGTATGTAGTATCGCATTACATTTTTACCCGTCATTTGTATTTTAACTCACGCAATATGACAAGAATACAACATCATAAGAATACTGCAAGACTCACAAAAATATCCAACAGTTAATAAGAATACTACGCACTATAATTTCTAGATTTCAAGTATATATAGAGAGAGTTTTTCGATCACTCTGTCCTGTCACTTTCAAGTCAACATATGAAAACACAATTATGAGAATTCCAACTGGCAAGCGGTTGATATATTTACATTAACGTAACCGAGCTGAACTCGGGACTTCGTCGTCGTTTTCGTGATACATATGAAGGCCTTTTCATTGCACAATGAAGGCCGATTCATTGCACAACGCGAACAAAGTAATTGAATACGCTAGTTGAAAGTCTCCGCCATCTTGAATGAGCGCTTATGTCACAAGGCGTCAGAAGCCGGGGATATTTATCTTCAAGCCAGGCTACAACCTAATGCTGTGTCCAATGATCAATGGAAAAAACGAAACTTACAGATAATCCATCACAATTAACCTTGTTATTACTTACTTGTTACCTTTTGCGCTTCATTCTTCCTGACTTAAATTTATAATCACAAATATCCCTTTTTGGCATCCCCGACTTCCCTTCTTAGCCCCCCAAGCTGCTTTCACCTCTATCTAACTCCTTACCGTGTTAAAGATTGGAGGAGTGTCGATCGGCTCGTTCTTGTCGAAATAGATGCTGGCCTTGGCATCAATCCTTGCTAAAGGTGGCAAGTTCTTCTTGAGGCGAATAGAGAAAGTCACGTATCCTTGCCCTGTCGTGCCGTTGTTTGGTGGAAGAAAGCCAGTTCGTGGATCATCAGGTGCCTCACCTGTCATTGGAAAATATTGGAGAGGTGTTACTTTCTCTGATATCATTTTGAAAAATATTTAATAATCAGCTAATTCTTAGCTATTAGTACAGCGGTTTTCACTTAAGTGTCGAAAGTAACTCGCATTTGCAATATTTTAGCTTTGCATTTAAAATTTCCTCGCCACTTTTTCATCCAATCGGAATTAAAACCAAAACCAATCGTGGATCGCTCGTACAAGTTTTCCCGCGCTTTGAATCACCTACATGTATTTGCCTGGAGTTTTGATTGCTTCGATGAATTGTCTGAGTGCATTTTGAGTAATTACTAATAGGGTCTCGATTTTACGATTCTGAATTGAAAACTACTCTATCAACTAGAGGTTAACCGCCGTCGCGAGTTAGCGAAGCTCAATTTTCGAGTATAAGTCCTTCGTCAGAGCAAAAAACATTAGCCGTTTTGTCAGAGCCGGCTTTTGATCTGACGAGGGCTGACGCTCGAAAAGCTAGCTTCACCAGCTCATTCACCTTTATCATTAACTTCAAGTTAATAAATAGCTAACTATTTCAATTCCCCGCCGAAGCAGCCCAATAGTTTTTTTAGAAGCTAATAACTTTGGACGCGACAAAGTTCTTGGTTGTAGCTATAACATCACACCTGTCTGAGGATCAAGGCTCTGAAATTCCCAGCGAGCTTCACGGGTCATGATGTCTATCCCGGCAATGACTCGTAGGTAAATGTTCTTCTCCGACACAAGGTCGATTGTTTCCTAACAAATAAACAAAACAAATTAACAAGAAATATCCATGGTGAACAATATGTAACGGAAAATGAAACTATGTTACACTCGGAGAGTGTGACGACAGATCTCTCTTTGAGGCGTATCGTATTCGATCTTGTCTAGCAATGTTCTAACCTGACTCGTAAAAATAAACCACTACAATAAATGTTAATAGCCTAACGTGATGTGGCAGTTTTAGATTCACTCTCGAGAGTGCGTATAAGTCCTGGACCAATTTGCTTTGTTTTCGAAGGCGTTTTTTGATTGGTTAAAAGAAAACTCACGCCATCGACTTAACCAATCGGATTCAAAACCAAAACCAGTCTCGGCTTAAACGTCTTAGTTATCATACATTTTGAAGGATTTGATTCGAGTTTACAATTGTTTACATTGCTTTCAGTTTACTTGTCATGATTATACATTGTAATCGCGTTAGGTATTTCTCATCTCCAACGAACGAGTTCTGCTCTACTTCAATAAAGATTGTATACAGGGCCTCACCAGTATAATTGGTAATCTAACTTTATTGCTTATGGAGCTGTAGCCCCTCAGGGGGGGACGCCCATGTAAAAAGGACGGGGGTGCTCGTCATACCTTTCATGGGCTAAAAAGGCGGTTTTGGTACATTGTACATCTTAGGGCGTTTCAGGCCCAAAAGGTCCACAGCGGGAGCTTTTGCGTTGAAAAAATATGACAGGAGATAAATTGTTGTTTAAGAATTGGAACCTGTAAGGGGTGAAAAAATTTCAAGAAACGCTCACAAAAACCTCTTGGTGGCTCTTTTCAAACTTCTCCAAGATGAACCCCGTCCTTTTAATATCGGAGTCCCCTCCGGGGGGGAGGGGGGCGTAGCTTCAATCTACAAGTTTCCTTACCTGAAGAAAAGCCCTTGAATTCGGCAGCTTTTTAATAAAGTTTCCAAATCCAAAACCCGTAATCCTAAACGTGCGGATGTCCAAGTCTTGGTCCAGTGTATGTAGAATGATCACGTGCTGTGCAGGAGCGGTGGCATTAGGATCGTTCTCAAACCTGATCTTGTAGTTCAGCGGTGTCCTCAACGAAATAAAGCGCGCGTCTCCGTATCCTGGAGGACCAATCATGTCGTTCTATACGAGGGGTAAGACAATGAAAGTCAAACTACCCAACACAGGTGAATATAGGCGTACTTTCCGTACATTTGTCCTTTAAAAATTTAAAGATTAAATATTCTATGAATGTTGAACACTATAGAATTTGTAACTGAGTTATTCTACATTGCATTCCGATGAAAAGAAAATACATTAACTATCAACAAGGGAATACTATCTTGATGTACTACCAAATTCTCATAACAAGCATCGCAAGAATTGTGTAACAGTCGGTAAGCAGAATTAACATTTTGATCAGCATCTCACCGGATCCAAGGAGCGCACCCACTCGATGGTGATATTGATGAGATCCTCTGCCTTTTTCGTTGCATCTGGCACAAAAGTGTTTTTAATGGTCTTGTCATTAAAATCGGAAATAGCCTGCCCACATCCTCCTGAAAATGACAGAAAATAAATCTTTTTTATTAATATTAGGACTTGAGGTCACGCTGAAGAGAAACAAGTATTAACGTGTACCTTCATCGTAGCAATAGAAAAATGTTTAAACTTGAAACCTGACGAATTCTTCTCGTGACTTCTGTTTAAACCAACAACCAAGAGACGTGATCAGATCGCGTTACCAGTCTAAGTACAAGTTGATGTTTTCGGGAGGGCGTATGCAGTGTTAGTCAATTAATAACAATAATAATAATAACAATGATAACGATATAACGATAACGATAATGATAATGGTAGTGATAAAAATATTTTTTTTAGGTAGGTCATCACATGATGCGTCGCAATACAATGGAAAACAAGTTACGATTGGAAAGAGAATTGACTGGAAACAGTGTATTGAAAGGCCATAGGAACATCGACAATTACTTTTAAATCAATCAATCATTTTATTTCTTAATCAGTTATTTCTTGATCATTTTATTTCTTAAAGCATAATAAAAGCTTTGAGACAAACACAAAAAGGATCATCAAGAATGAAAGCTAGCAAAAGAATAAACTTTCCCTCGTCTGAATGTTTGGTCTAAGTAGTGAAAATAAAGCGCATAGTTACCTGATTTACTTGAAGAACCACCGAGCGGAGGAAGGGCTGAGGAAATTGCACCGTTGACACCATCTTCCAATGCCTTTCGCCAACTAACCCGACCATTATCAATCTTTTGCTGAATCAAAGACCCTCCGAAGCTAGTGGCAAATCCGACGGCCACTTCTGCAAGTACAAACATTAAAATATACAGGTTATAGTACGACAAAACAAGAATCATCCATACTGACTGACAGACTGACCCACCGACTGATCGACTGCCTGTCTACCTGCCTGCATGACTGCCTGACTGACTGACCGACTGACCGACTGACTGTCTGACTTACTGGCTGGCTGGCTGACTGACTGACTGACTGACTGACTGACTGACTGACTGACTGACTATTAACTCCTCAAATTGAATTGAATTTTCCCGGTGCTTAAAGTTAGGCGGATAATTCAGTCATTTTCAGTATTGGGTTGAGTGTATGGGCATGGTCATTTTGATTATGAGACTGTATCTGCGATTGAATACTGAGTTATGAAGTCCTCGTGACTACTAATAAAGCTGAAAGCTCCCTGATACTTACTAGCAGATTTGAAAAATCCCGAGACAGCACCTGTTACTGCACTTGATATAAGTCCTGCAGAAAGTAAACAATACAACAGTTTTGTTTTGCTAAAATTAACGTGCAGACCTTCGTACAGTTGTTCGTTTAATGCAGTCGACATGAGGAAAAAAGAGAGCTTCGACTTTCAATACATTTATCTCTTCTAAAGTCAAAACCTGTGACATGTTTTCCGCCTGTTGTTTCAAGCCGTCGAAAACTACAGCACTGAAAACTGTTGCCGGTGAAAATTTAATAATACTTTTCGGTGACATCGGATATTTCCAACCAATCACAATACACCAAATAAAATTTCAGAACTAAACGAACTACACTCGTGTGGAATATCTTCAGGTCGAGGTCAGTCTGTTTGACAGAAATAAGGATATTGCAGGAAATTTCCTTTTTCAGAACATTTTTTTGAACCCATTTTCGTGACCACATAATGTTTCAACTTCACTGAATTTATATTCGTCTTGTTTTCGCATAAACTCTTTTCCAGCGGCGTAAAAAGGGTAACTAACCGTCTTCGTTGGTGCAGATTGCCATTAACACGTTAACCCTACCCTAATTTTCCACAAGCTAAGCAGAAACCTTGTCTACTGTCCTGATTTACTGCGAGACTGATCAAGTCATTGAACTGATGCGGCCGGATTTATGGCCAAATGCGAGCGCCGCAAATTCCTCGTCGGCGGTGTATCAGGCTTGTATGGTTTCGACTCGAGTATTGAGGCTCGACGGTTTCACGTTGTAATACTTACCATAGCTCATCTGAAAATGCTTGATATGCAGCCGACAACCCGCAGATAATTCTGAGTTTCATGTCATGTGTAGGGGTAAGAGAGGATAAAGGGTGAGAGTTATTCCCCTTTATTAACCTTATTCTCAACGGAATCCCTCCCAAGCTATTTTTAGGTATAGTATCTAGTCTTTCTACGGATTATTTCACTATGCGCGTTGTATAGATATTTTCGTAAAGGATGAAAATGTATCCAAAGCCACTTGGTTTGTCCAGATGAATAAAATTCGCATCACAAGATTGGCTATTTCTGGACCCTCCTGAGATGTCTGAAGTCAAGAGTGATTTAAAAATAACTTAAGGGATTACCTTAGATGAACTATTTTAGCCTTCATCCTCTCCTGGTAGAGGTTGAATGGCCAGGGCCCAGGATTACACTTTTAACCACCAACCACAGGCAAACACTGGACAACAAAAATGCGGTGGTCACGAGAAACGTCTTTCTCTTTGCTGGGCTCCAGACGTTTCCTATGCTGCTTGTTGGGAAAAATAAACTCTTTTTCCCCATTGTTAACAGTTGCTTTTTTCAAAACCTACACAGCTTTTCTTTTTTTATTATTATTTCATTTCAATAGTGTAATGTTAACTATCTTTTTTTTTCCTTATTAAAACACAGACCAAAAAATTATTTATAAGCACCCTACTACACAGATGAAAGAAGAGTGAAGAATTTATGGATTATATGTTTAACTTACATACCTCCAAAGGTAATTTTTTGATTAGCTATTCTCTGACTTGCGATGTAAGCGGCGACATTGGTGCCTGCGCCAAGGACAGCTCCCAGAGGACCCCCAGCAACGTTAACAAAGGAAACACAACGCCCTCGGGGGTCCTCGAGCATCACGGGATTGTTGGCTGCGTATGAGTAAAGATTGATGCTTTTCCCTGAAAAGCCTGACAACAAAGAGGAAAATGAGTAATGACTGTCATGTCATAAGCAAGGCTGCTGTTTTCTTTTTTCTGTTTTCTATCAGTATTGAAAATCGTCGTTACATGACTGTTCACTGAACGTAAAAAAACTGAATTTAAGCATTGTTTTGAAAATCAGAGGGCTTATAATACTTTTTGAACGCGCTTTTACCGAGAGGGTCAAAGCTAAGAAATCTTCCAAGCTGTGCATCATAGTGTCTGGATCTCATCCAGTAAATATCCCTNCTTCGAGAATGCGAGGGTTGTCTATTATATGGCTTTTTGCATTGTCTTTGCAAGCCCGCAATTCGGGCCCGTGGGCATTACGGGAGAATAATGCCCTACAATTAGCCAATCAGAGCGAGTGTAAGATGAGCTACAAACCCAAGATATATAATAATTATACTTAGTGAATGCGTATTTACCGAGAGGATCAAAACTAAGAAATCTTCCAAGCTGTGCATCATAGTGTCTGGATCTCATCCAGTAAATATCCCTTAGTTCACGGTCTGCAGTCACTCCCCATTGACCAATAAACGTGAAATCCTGTGGTAATGCTTCGTCAAATTCCAACATTCTGCCTAAGGGGTCATAACTGTAGCGATTGACACGATCACCACTAGGACCCAGTATTCCTACGACAGACCTGGCCAGGAGAGAGAAAAAACCAACAAGGCTGAAAATTGGATATTTTATTTTGCACCTTCTTTCAAAATGACAAATGGACATTAAACTGTTAACATCAATGCAAATCACACTACGCTACTTAATTTTTTGGAGATCACAGGAAACCTAGAAATGATGGAAAAAATGTTCGAAAAAAATATGAGGTATTTTTAAAGCCGAAAGGCAGGCCGGTGGTGCGGTTGACAGGATTTAGACGGATTACGCGGAACGACAAACTAAGTGTTTCAAAATATACTAGTGCACGTGATCCGACCAAATTTCATGATTGGCATGGACCCTAAGACTTGTGGAAGAAATATTTACCACTAACTCGCACGAGTCACCTATGTAATCTTACCCTAGACCGTCAAACTCGTAATAAAATAAATCTCCATTCTTGTCAACCAACGCAACCAATCCAAGCTCTTCACAGTGGACAAAGTATGTTACATTCCCACCAGAAATCTACCAAACGAACAAAAAACATGAAACAAATTCTCAGAGCAAACATTCAAAGAGATGAAGCAAAATAATCATACACTAAGGTAAAGGTCAAACCACACAAAGGAAATAGAAGTAAGGAAAAAATTATATACTGTTCACACAATGCAGCAGAGACATTTGGCGATGATGTGCCCTTGTCATCGTTTATCCTGAGGGATTTCTCTCAATAACTTCAACGGACAACTTGGCCATATCGAATGACATAATGATTTTGCAGTCTTGGAATGTGCAGCGCGAGGTGTTACAGCAACATTCGCCTCGTGTGCACGCGAACAGTACATAATTTTGTCCTTGCTTCATGTCGCTACGACATGACTTTTTGTGTTAACCAACCATAAAGGGTTTTTTTTGTCATTGAGATCGGAGTGGTTTATGTCATTTTTTTTAACACGTGTGGTTAGTTCGTTTTCATGTTCAACAGTGAACCACTGAAAATGTTTTACCTGTCCAACAACATCAGCTCCTGGATTCCCAAATGGATCGATGATGTACTGCACTTCTGACTGACCGCATGTCTTCTTGTATAAGTTTCCCAAGGCATCGTAAACAAAGTTACATCTGCAAGAGAAAACCCCCTTTTATTGTCAGGTAGCAAAACTTTATCAACGCGCTCAGTTGGTGCATGGACTATGAGTAGTCCCTCTTTCGCTTAGTTCATCGTGCGAGAAGCGAGAGCAAACTGGGAGAAAGGAAACGGCCACACAAAATCCTGGGAGTGAAAAGTTACTTTCGTGCGCTTCTCTATTCCAGGATTTCGTTCGACGGACTAAGCGAAAGAGGGACTACTCGTAGTCTACTCAGATAGTAACTATCTCATTTACCGTACATATTATGTCTCGAGCGCTTCACACGTTCGTTTTACTTACAGTACGTAAGAAGATTTTACTATTACAACTCCTCCTCAATGGGGTGCTAATCATCATAGGTAAGGCCCCGCCTTAGCAATTTGTTACGCAGCGCCTATATATACTTCTTGTTAGAGAGAGGCTCTATGAGAGTGAAGTGTCTTCCCAAAAACATGACACCACGACTCCGCCAAGGGTTGAATTTAAAACCGGCGCTCAACGCAATAACCGATCTTTAATAACATCTCCGCAATGAAGGGATTAACTAAAAGAAACATGGATTAATGATAAAATTCAACTATTGTGTCTCATCAAGAGAGTTTCACTTTTTACCTTTTGTTCGGAGTTTCAGCCTGCACCAAGAAATCCTCGGCACTAAACTTGAATTTGACGCTATCGTTCCGCACATCCCTGTTCGTCTTCTCTTCCATATTGCCATTCATGTCATATTTGATATCATAATTTCCTGCCGAGCTGTNTTTTTCTGTTTTCTATCAGTATTGAAAATCGTCGTTACATGACTGTTCACTGAACGTAAAAAAACTGAATTTAAGCATTGTTTTGAAAATCAGAGGGCTTATAATACTTTTTGAACGCGCTTTTACCGAGAGGGTCAAAGCTAAGAAATCTTCCAAGCTGTGCATCATAGTGTCTGGATCTCATCCAGTAAATATCCCTCAGTTCACGGTCTGCAGTCACTCCCCATTGACCAATAAACGTGAAATCCTGTGGCAACGCTTCGTCAAATTCCAGCATTCTGCCAAAGGGATCATAACTGTAGCGATTGACACGATCACCACTGGGACCCAGTACTCCTACGACAGATCTGGCCGGGAGAGAAAAACCATAGGTTAAAAAACTGGATATTTGACGTGGTCATTTGCTATTAATATTTGAACCTTCTTTCAAAATGACAAACGAACATTAAACTGTTAACATCAATTCAAATGTCACTGCGTTATATGTAATTTTTTGGAGATTACACGAAACCTAAATATGATGGAAAAAAATGTTGGAAAAAAATATCAAAGAGACAGAAAGCAGAAGTTCAGGCAGGGGACTCGGTTGGTCAGGACTGATTAAGACAGATCATTTGCGGGCCTGCACAAAACCGCCCGCTAGAGCAAGTCTATAGCAAGTTCCTAGCCATGCCTCAGTGTTGAAACAGAATATATTAGTCGGAACATACTCTTTAAGCCTTGTAGAAGAGATATTTATCACTAAGTCATACGAGTCAGCTATATTTAACTTACCCCAGACCGTCAAACTCGTAATAAAACAAATTTCCATTCCTGTCAACCAACGCAACTAAACCAAGTTCTTCACAGTGGACAAAGTATGTTACATTTCCACCAGAGATCTACCGGAGGAAAATTTTTTTTTTTGTTAATTAATTTTCAAACACAATATACATAGGAAAAAACTAAACAAAATAAAAAGAGAAAAATGGTAATATTTCAGCCCAATACTTACAGTACAATATGATAGTTAAGCCTACTTACATCGGAGGAACAAATACTGACTGAATTGAACAAGAGCCGAATTCTCAGAACAAACACTCAAAATCAAACACTAAAGGTCTGTTCACACTAAGGGACAGGTAGTAAGGACAAAATTATGTACTGTTCACACAAGACTACCTAGAATGCAACAGAGACACATTGTGGCGACAGGTCCACGTGTATACTAATCTTCAACTAGCACAACGCTAGGTGCTGCTGCAACATGTCCCCTCGTGTGTGAAGAGTGCACGATTTTGTCCTTGCTACAAGTCGCAACGACATGCCCCTTTGTGCTAACATGCCCCTTTGTCGCTGAGATCCGAGTGGTTTAAGTCATTTTTTATCACGTGAGGTTATTTTGTTGTCATGTTTAACAGTGAACCACTGAAAATGTTTTACCTGACCAACAACATCAGCTCCTGGATTCCCAAATGGATCGATGATGTACTGGACTTCTGACTGACCGCATGTCTTCTTGTACAAGTTTCCCAAACCATCGTAAACAAAGTTACATCTGTAAGAGAAAATCCCATTTTATTGCCAGGTAGTATAAATTTATCAAGGCGCTTAGTTCGTAACTATCTCGTGTACTATACAAACTATATATCGTGTGCTACACGTGTTCATATACCTCACAGCACGTTGTGGAAATTTTAGTATTGCTACTTCGGCCACCTGAATGGGGTGCTTTTCATCGTTGGTAACGCCCTGCCTAAGCATTTTGTCACGCAGTGCCAATATATATTTCTGGGTAGAGAGAGGCACTGTGAGAGTGAAGTGACTTCCCAACTCCGCCCAGGGTCGAACCCAGACCTTTCGACGAAATAACCATTAGGTTAACGTGTCTTTCTATGATAGAGCGGTTTTCAGTTGAGTGTCGTAAAACCAAACTAAGTAATCACTCTAGCTAATCACAAAGGACACAGATAATCCAATGAATCAATCAATACTCGAAGTAAATACATGTAATTGACGCGGAGCGCGGGAAAACGCGTGCGAGCGAATCACGATTGGTTTTGGTTTTAACTCTGATTGGATGAAATAGTGGTGCGAGATTTTGGGGCAATCATGTAGCGTAGTAATGCAAAACCAATTACTTTTCAACACTCAAGTGAAAATTGCTCTACTTCTTAGCAAGTGAAAACAAGTAAAAATGGGTGATATAAAGTCTACATTAGGTTACTAGCCAAAAAATTGGCAGCAAGAGCTTCATATATCAAATACTGTAATTCCTTCTCTACGGATGTTCAGTGAAGGAAATATTTACTTTGATGTCTTTTGCATACCGCCAGATCTTCACCAACTGGTATGTCTCTCAAAAACAAATAAAAAAGCAAGAACATCTCCAACATAAAGGGATTAATCAAATGTAACACGGATTGATTCAACCATTGCGTCTCGTCAAGACAGTTTTATTTTTTACCTTTTGTTCGGAGTTTCAGCCTGCAGCAAGAAATCCTCGGCACTAAACTTGAATTTGACGCTATCGTTCCGTACTTCCCTGTTCGTCTTCTCTTCCATATTGCCATTCATGTCATATTTGATATCATAATTTCCTGCCGAGCTGTACTGGTTAACTTCGTTTGTAGCGTACAAGGTCTTGTTGCCAGGCTCTTGTGATACGAATAATCTGTTTTTTCTCTTGTCGTAAGTGTAACGAACAATCTTTCCCTGCGGATCTGTCGATCCTATGAGCTGCGAAGCAGCATCATACTTATAATACCAGCTCCCTGAGGTCGTATTTAATTGAATGATACGTCCTTTTCTATCATAGTTGTATTCAAAATAGGAAGAAATGCTTCCATTTGGAAAATAATTTACCATTCGCGACAGTTTGAAATTAGTTCGATCTAAAACGTACTCAGAATATGCTCCATTCCCAAGGACCCGTTTAGATAACATTCCCCGTGAGTTGTACTCTAACTTCAATAGGACATCAACTCTACCGCTGGGGTGTAATCGCACGACTTCCGATAACCGGTAAAACCGGTCATACGTGTATACCAAGCTCAACCCGGCGACATTCAGAGCCACACGACGTTGGAAATCATTGAATTTGTAAGTGAGCCGCTGACCATTTGGATAAGTGACAGCAGAAGGTCTTTTTTCTCTGTCGAAAACAATGTTTATTGCTCCGATTTCGTTTGTCGCTTGAATGATGTTTCCGTTGTCATCACGAAGGAAATACGAAGAGCCAAGACCATCGACATCCTTTTTGACCTAGGAAACAGCATGAAGATAAGTTTATCATCAGTACGAAGAAGTGCTTATCATGAGCGAAGCATAAGTGAGTATAATTTATGTCTAGTGCCCGGGGGGAGACTGCCATAGGAAAAGGCTGGGGATACTCGAGGGAAAATTTGAATTAAACTCCTAACAGAGACCAAACTGGGTGTGGCTTAAGCTTTATTTGACCCCTAAAAAATACCACCTACAATGGAATAGGCTTGATTACCAGTCGCTGTTCAGGAAAGGAGCCTGCGCTAGCAGACCAGACTCAAGAGAGAGGCATAAATAAACCCTAAAAACAGAAATAGGACCGTTCTTTTGTTTTTATTTCTTCGAGCGCCAGTGTTAAAAAGCAAGAGAACGGCACAACGAAGTGGACTTCAAGGGCTTTAATACTACCGAACGACAAGATGGCCGCCGATAACAAAACACGAAGCAGATAGGTGCGCGCGCATACACATAATACAAAACCGCAGGCACTGCCTGCTGGCGGAGTGCATCCTAAGAGATAATTTGACAGCTCTCAGCGATAATACAGTAATCCCATCTGTCCATCTTCCACTAACAATACTTAAAAACAACAAACTTTTCCTGATAAATGTGCACACTGCTACCCAAATGCACACACCGTCGCCTACGAAGCCAAAATTTCTTGTTAATTGTTCCCCGAGAAAAAGTAATAAGGACTGACTAACCGACTTCCACAATTGATCAGTCTTTACTTTCCTTTGGTCCCTTAAGCTCGTTTATTGCTACCTCTTTTGTGATTTCTTTCTTGTAAAACTGTTATTTTCAGGTTGGGTTTAATCCCGGGGGCTTCTACCAGAAAAATCGGGTGGGTGTGTGAGGTCCGCTTCCTGAAATCCTTACCCCAATTATGACAAAAATCTGTGATTTTTCCTACCCTATTTATGACCTGATCAGAAATTTGACACCCTATTTATGACTAAAATGGCCAAATTCGATACCCTATTTATGACCAAAACGGCTATAAAATCATACCCTTTGGGGCTGCACATACCTACATAGCCCATATAAGGGAGTAACCGGGGGAAGGGGGTTAATAAGATCTCTCTTACTAATAACCATAACGCAAACTTACAATCCTGTCTTTTTCATCATACTCGAACTTGACTTCCTTGCCAGCTCTACCAGTAAACTTTACCAGCCTGCCGAAGCCATCATAATCAGTGAGTTCGGCCTCGCCATCAGGGTATTTGAACTTGACCATTTTGTCTTTGTCATCGTAAATGTTCTGATAAACAAGGCCATCAGGATCGGTGGTGTTTAGAATGTCAAAATTCTCCCGTAGTAGGAAATCTGTTTTATGATCGTTTGCGTCCACCACAGACATGGTATTCGTCTTTTCATTGAACAGTCTTTTCATTACAACCTGAAAAGTTGAATATGACAAATAACAGCTTGACAAAAGGGCTCTGAGAACGTCTATAGCAACAAAATAGTAGTACAGAAAGTTTCTTTTATGAAAGGAACATGCACAAATAGCATTTATATATTACTGAATTGTATGATCAAAATTTCGTTTCTTCGTTTTTTTTTCTTAATTTTAAACTTAATTTTCATCACCGCTTTATCCATGGAATTCCTGTAATTCTTTTTATCTAACTTATGTTATAATTGTAAGTCTGTATATATTTATTGTTTTGTTTTGGTAATAGCAGGTCCACATCAGCTATTCCAGATACCTTAAGTTTTAACCAGCGGTATCAAATAACGTGTATGTACAAACTTCTTAGGAGTGTAAAATTGACAAATTAACCCTAACTCAAGCATCTTAAGGCATGGCTTGCTCCTTGGTCCCCCAACGAAGTTTAAACCATTTTCCTATAGAAAAAACGTTATTTTTTTCCCCAGGAAGACCAAAAGTACATATCAAAGGGAATTTAGCATCCTTAAATTGCTTGAAATCATTTTTTGGTGGTCTCGTGTCTAATGACGTCATAATCTTGACAATAATAAAACCTCAAATTGGGTGAGAATGAATAACTAAAGGGAAATATAATATATCAGTTATTCTTTGCCTTTTTTCAAGAAAACTATCCGTGGTCAAATTTGTTATTTACTTGACAAGATTTTAAGGGACAAAATAAGTCACGTGACTTGTTTTACTATTTATCTCTTAAACGATACATCACTGTCGACCCTTCCTGCCAGAACCATGCAAGGGACAACAAGAAAATTACCATAATGATTACAATTTATACTCTGTTATACGACATCTCGCCACCCCATTTTCAATTTTCTTTTAATTCAATCAAGCATCGATAACGGGTCACGTGACCTAACTAATCAATACTTAAAACCAGAATTGAGTTTAGGTGGTTAGCTTTTATATTGCTGTCAAGTTTGAAGGTGTTTTGGTAAATCGCTCAATAGTTACGGCTGTTTTCAGATCTTATACAAATTAGCCTTAACAGGCTTGAGAAGGCGTGAAATAAGCTTGTCTAACATTATGTAATAAAATCACAGTCAATCTGAAATCTCAATACCTGTTCTCCTTGCTTTGTGATTCGCACAACCTGGTCATCATTTTTAACACTGTCAAATAGTACACCGCTAAAACCTCCGCCTGCTATGTCCATCATTCTGGCGTCTTCATTAAACACCAGCACGGCCGAGTCGCCTTGTGGGAGTCTGGACATAGTAACCTTACCATTCCAGTCGTAAGAGAAATACATTCCTTGAACAAACTTGTTTTCCCGGTTATAACCTGTTATATTACTCAGGAGTCCATACTGGTTCCAGGAATACTTGACGGTAGTCGAAGTAGGGTAAGTAATACTTGTCAGGTCACCGTTAAAGTTGTAGGTATACCGTGTAGTTTGTTTGCCTAAGGTCACGGACAGCAATGCTGCTGTGTTCCAATCATAAGTGTAGAAACTGCAGAATAGAACAGAGATCAATAAAACCGTTAATTCTCCCCCCAGGAAGAGAATTGTTAAGAAACAGGCTTTGTGCAGACAGTAGCCTGTCAACAGGCCCCGGCTGGAAGGGCCGAAAGGGACTGGCTGAGAGTGAAGTGGCCAAGGGAAAATGGGGTGAGGGTAAGGGCGCCCTCTCGTCCTCTCTCTCCTCTCCTATCTGTCTTATTTCTTCCGGCTTTCTCTTCGCCCCATCCTCTCCTAGAAAACCTGTTCACAAGCTATGCAAACTGATGTCCAATTTCCCGGAATTTTGTACGGTATGAGGACCTCGTAAGATAGGAGGATACTGTCTCTACAGACCCGAAACCTAAAAAAGACATGACTGTAGAAAGTGACTTTGGAAATATTAGAATAAGAACAATTACAAGAACATTTCAAGCGAGGAAAAAAACAAACTCACCATCTTTGTTCGTTACCGGATCCATCATCTAATCGAGCCTCGCGAAGGAGTCCTTTGTCGTTGTATTTCACAGTTATTTTTCCTCCTGACGAATGCTTGAAAGTCGAAGATCTGTTCTGCACATACGCAATGGTGATCGTCTCGTTACCTCTTTGGATCTTTTTTAGATGTTTCATGACGGAATCAAATATAAACACAGTAGAGACGCTAGAGTCGGCGAAATGGAGTTCTGGAAACCAATTGGAAGGAACGGCATTTTAGTGTGACATTTGTGAATTCAAAGAGCCTTTTGTCATAATTTGAGTTTTAAAAACGAACAACAGTCAATGAACAAGCGTGTCGCACCTGTGTCATTAACAGTGACTTTCTTTCCATCCAGTGACATATACAGCCCAGTTGCACCAGCCTCAAATACTAGCTCCTCGCGTAAACGAACAATTTTAATTCTTTCTGGTGTAATCAGCGTTACTTTAGCTTCCCTGGTTTTAGTGAGTGGATAAAAGAAATCACAATCAGGATAAAGATGACCATGAACAGTATTAAGAAACGAATATGCTCCTGATTATTGTTATTCGTCGTGAAAAAATAAAATAAAATAACATTTAAATCTCCAAGTTGGTTCTTGGTATTATATATTATGTATTGAGCATGAATCTACCTTCTCAAATTCGCTCAGTACCATGTTGGAATATGTATTCCACATCTTTATAGATTCTGAAACCGAAGTCTTATGTTTCAAGAGATAAGTTGAGCTGCTGGAGCTTAAGACTTCATTGCGAAATCACCTTTGGAAATATAATCAAAAGCCTCCTGTAGAGCAACTCGTGAGTAGATTTCCTTCGTCAGTTTTCTGAGATACTCTAACAGCCGGCGGCAAATTGTTGCAGCCTTTTCACCACGCATGCGCTTATTTCGAGTTGAATAGTAATTTCACAATATATTGATGTGAAAATTAGAAAACACAGATTGTGAAATGGGCGTGTAAAAAACGTTAAATTGATTAAACGTTTAAATTTATTAGGGTTAAATTTACTCCTATACAAGATAGGTGAATTGCTGCCCTTGGGGCGAAGTAATTTTTACATCAGTGTAAGTTTTGTTGACTTCCTTTCAGTAAGCTTTGTCAAAACTGACTGTTCTTTAAAAAAGAAAATCGGTGTTGATTGATTCGATTTGTTTCGATGACTTAAAGTTATTTTGCAGTTTTCTTACCACCATGATGCCATCCAGCCAATTCCAAAAACGCCCTTGTCCCTTCGTTTGGAAAGAAGAGCGCTGTACGTTCTTTGTAAGACCAAAGGCAATGTACCATCTAATGTGGATTGGTCGTTTAAGTCATCTTGCGCTAATAGTGGGTCACCTTAAACGTAAAACATCAGTTTAGAGTAAAATACATACATCCATTGCAAATAACAGGGCAAGCACCTCAAAAGAGAAGCCAAATATACAGTACCGGCCAAATGCAAACTGACAGTCTGGACTCGATCCTCGATCCACGATCCTCGATCCTCGATACACGATCCACGATCCTCGATCCTCAATGCGCGATCCTCCGTCGCTTCTCGATCCTCGATGCTTTCAAGAATCTAGGCTCTAGTTTCGACTGTTTCGAGCTGCGCGTTTCGCGTTTTGAGTTTCGAGTTTCGAGACATTCGAGCAATTTTTTTTTCGAGGAAACGGTTAGTTTCTCGCATACAGAACAATAGCAACGAACAATAAATAAGTAGATAAGTTCTTTGTTTCTTTGTCTTCTTGATTCGCGACTCGAACGACTCCACTCAGTCGAAGCTCGACACTCGAAGTTTTCGAGTTACGAGAATCTAGGATCGTGTCGAGTCGGTCTAGTTCCGAGTAACTGTCAACTTACATTTCACTGGTACTATACTAAAATGTTTTGATATAGCGTCCCCTCGTTAAAAGCGTTAAGCGTGCAAAAATGGAATATAAAATACATGAGTGGTTCTGAACGTAAACTTGACGTTAATGAGCGAAAGTGCTGCTTTGGGGAGCAGGAATGGCGTAGTGGTGAGAGCGCTCGCCTTCCACCAATGTGGCCCGGGTTTGATTCCGGCCCGGTGCCACATGTGGGTTGAGTTTGTTGTTGGTTATCGCCTTGCTCCCTGGGTTTTCCCCGGGTTCTACGGTTTTCCTCCCTACACAAAAACCAGCACTCCAAATTCCAATTCGACTGGGATAGACGGGTCGTGCAATTCATCTCCCTGAAAAATAAATTAAGAAAACTTCACAAACTTACAGTTAGTTTGAAAAGGTTATTTTGTTTCATTTCAAATACTATCGCTTTTGAAAACTCGTTTCCTTTGAAGCATATAAAATAACGGGAAACCTACCGCTCAGCTTGCCATTGGCCATATCAAGCTGGAACTGAACAAGATCGGTCAGCAAGTTGACTCTTCTTCCTGACATGCTCAGCAAGGTGCTGACCGCTGACATCCTGCGCTGGAACGATGACGCCGACTTACCAACAGACACCAGGAAGTTGTTCCATATTGGAGACCACAGCTCATCGCTCAGAAACTCCGGCTTCAAGTCTTTGCTGCTGTCTATATAAGCGTGCGGTTCATCGCCTCCAAACAACATCTGAACTCTGTATGTCGCTTGCGCTTCTTCGCTTCCACCTGACTCGGTATCAAATACTATTTCCCCGTAAGCCTTTGGAGGTAAAATACCACCTGGGCCTTGAAGCGGTTGAGCTAAAAACATAACAGCGGAAGACAATTGAGCCGCTTGTCTATCCTTTTGAACAGGGCGGAACTTTGTCTGTCCTCCNCAATGGTGATCGTCTCGTTACCTCTTTGGATCTTTTTTAGATGTTTCATGACGGAGTCAAATATAAACACAGTAGAGATGCTAGAGTCGGTGAAATAGAGTTCTGGAAACCAATTGAAAGAAACGGCATTTTAGTGTGACATTTGTGAAAAGATTCTTGTGTCATAATTTGAGTCAAAGAACGAGCGTGTCGCACCTGTATCGTGAACAGTGAGTTTCTTTCCATCGAGTGGGATGTACAGCCCAGTTGCACCTGCCTCAAATACTAGCTCTTCGCGTAAACGAACAATCTTAATTCTTTCTGGTGTAATCAGCGTTACTTTAGCTTCCCTGATTTTAGTGAGTGGATAAAAGACATCACAATCAGGATAAAGATGATCATGAAGAGTACTGAGAAACAAATCTGCTCCTGATCATTGTTATTCATCGTGAAAAAAAAAAATATATAAATTCTATTTGGGTTCTTGGTATGATATATTATGCATCAAACATGACTCTTCCTCTTTAAACCCGCTCAATGCCATGTAGGAATATGTATTCCACGTCGATCTTTAAGCTACCTTAAGATAGATTCTGGGACCAAATTTTTATGTTTCAAGAGATACGTTGAGGTGAGCTTAAGACTTCATTACGAAATAACTTTGAAAATATAATCAAAGGCTTCTGTAGAGCAACTTGCGATCAGATTTTCTTCGTAAGTTAACGGCCCTTTTTTGAGATGTTCTTACAGCGGCCGGCAAATTGTTACAGCCCGTTCACTACGCATGTGCTTAATTTCCGAGTTAAACTAGTAATTTAACAATATATCAGTGTTAAAATTGAAAAAAAACACAGATTGTGAAATAGGCCTGTAAGATACAAATGTTAACTTGATAAAACGTTTAAATTTATGAGGGTTAAATTTACTCCTATACAAGATAGGTGAACGTTGCTGCCCTTAGGAGGAAAGAATTTTTACGTCAGTGTAAGTTTTGTTGACTTCCTTTTAGTAAGCTTTGTCAAAATGACTGTTCTTTAAAAACAAAAATCGTTGTTGATTGATACGATTTGTTTCGAAGACTTTCTTACCACCACGACGCCATCCAACCAATTCCAAAAACGCCCTTGTCCCTTCGTTTGGAAAGAAGAGGGCTGTACGTTCTTTGTAAGACCAAAGGCAATGTACCATCTAATGTGGATTGGTCGTTTAAGTCATCCTGCGCTAATAGTGGGTCACCTTAAACGTAAAACATCAGTTTAGAGTAAAATACATTCATCCATTGCAAACAACAGGGCAAGAACCTTAAAAGAGCATTTAGGAAATAAGCCATATATAAAGTACCGACCAAATGTAAGTTGACAGTCTGGACTCGACACTTGATCCTGGACCGTGGACCGTGGACCGTGGACCCTGGACCGTGGACCCTGGACCCTGGACCCTGGACCCTGGACCCTGGACCTTCAATGCTTTCGAGTTTTAAGGATGGAGGATCGGGTCGACTCGTTTGAGTTTTGAGTGACTGCCAACTTGCATTTGACTGGTACTGTACTTAATTGTTTTGATATAGCGTCCTCTGAAATATACCTGTATCTCGTTGAAAGAATTAAGGGTTTCTAGCACGTGCAAAAATGGAATAGCAATACACGAGCGGCTCTGAACGTAAACTGCGAAGTTGTCTTGACATTAATAGGCCAAATAAGATGACAGAGCTGCGTTCTTGTTAGACAATAGATCCCATTAAAAAATAAGTGGAAAAAACTTCAAAAACCTACAATTAGGTTCGTCCACACCACGCAGCTTTATTTCTACAGTTAGGCCTACCATTCACACTAATCCGTAAAGAAAACGGAGCTTTTCAAACCGGAGGAATTTGAAAATGCTGGCTTTGCGTTGAAAACGGGAGCTTTTCGAAAACGATGGCGTAGCGATAATCATGTGATTTCCCTGACCGAGATTTCCTCGAACAGAAATCCAAAATGACCGGTGATTTTTGAGTTTATAAAATCGTCCGGTGTAGTGTGGACGGAAAACATTTGATATGTTTTCAAAAGTGAAACTTTCGTTTTTAAAATACCTCTGGCGTAGTGTGGATGGGGCCTTAGTTTCATTGATTTCATTGAAGACAAAATAGCTTCTGCTTTCAAAAACGCGTTTCCTTTGAAAGATATGAAATAATCTGAGGGACAAACCTACCGCTCAGCTTGCCATTGGCCACATCAAGTTGGAACTGCACAAGATCAGTCAACGAGTTGACTCTCCTTCCTGACATGCTCAGCAAGGTACTGACCGCTGACATCCTGCGCTGGAACGAAGACGCCGACTTACCAACAGAAACCAGGAAGTTGTTCCAAACTGGAGACCACAGTTCATCGCTCAAAAACTCCGGCTTCAAGTCTTTGCTGCTGTTTATATAAGCGTGTGGTTCATCGCCTCCAAACAACATCTGAACACTGTATGTCGCTTGCGCTTCTTCGCCTCCACCTGACTCGGTATCAAATACTATTTCCCCGTAAGCCTTTGGAGGTAAAATACCACCTGGGCCTTGAATCGGTTGCGCTAAAAACATAACAGCGGAAGACAATTGAGCCGCTTGTCTATCCTTTTGAGCAGGGCGGAGCTGTGTCTGTCCCCCACTGACACTAAGTGATAACAGGGGACATAAAATATCAGTGTCGCCGACATTTTCATACGACAATGTTATCACCCCGGACGAATCCACTAGCAGCACTTCTGGAAAGTCAACGTGCGTTTCTAACCGTCCAGGTTCACCGCGCGTTACCACCAAAGAACGTTCCAGTAACGCTTCTTCTTTTGATTCTGCGTTGACAAGTTTAACGTGGAAGGTTGCACCAACGGTTAGATTTGTCGTGATGAAAGTAGCGTACACTTCCATTGAACCCATTCGATAGACTTGATCTGCTCTGATGAAATCTTCATCAGAGGAAACATTCACAAGAAAAGCTTCTAGCTTTTGTCCAAACAAAGTTCCTTCAAAGCGCAGGGTGGCGTTTCCCAGTGGAGCTACTTGATTAGGAAATACACGACTGATTTCAAACTTTGCAATGCGCGCGCACAGCTGAGACGCCTTTTTAGTCTGGTCGGATGAAGAAGTATCATATCTTTTCATCAGAACATAGTATTCCCCCGCAATCGTTTCAGGTATTACTACCTCTTGGTCAGGTGACAGAGCAAATTTTGATCCNGAGCCGCTTGTCTATCCTTTTGAACAGGGCGGAACTTTGTCTGTCCTCCGCTGACCCTAAGTGATAACAAGGGACATAAAATATCAGTGTCGCCGACATTTTCATACGACAATGTTATCACCCCGGGCGAATCCACTAGCAACACTTCTGGAAAGTCAACGTGCGTTTCTAACCGTCCACGTTCACCGCGCGTTACCACCAAAGATCGTTCCATTAACGCTTCTTCTTTTGATTCTGCGTTGACAAGTTTCACGTGGAAAGTTGCACCAATGGTCAGATTTGTCGTAGCGAAAGTAGCGTACACTTCAGTAGAACTCAGTCGATAGACTTGTTCTGCTCTGATGAAATCTTCTTCAGCGGAAGCGTTCACAAGAAAAGCTTCTAGCTTTTGCCCAAACAAAGTTCCTTCAAAGCGCAGGGTGGCGTTTCCCAGTGGAGCTACTTGACTAGGAAACACACGACTGATTTCAAACTTTGCAATGCGCACACACAGCTGAGACGCTTTGTTAGTCTGGGCGGACGAAGGAGTATCGTATTTTCTCATCAGAACATAGTATTCCCCTGCAATCGTTTCAGGTATTACTACCTCTTGGTCAGCTGTAAAAGCAAACTTTGATCCGCCGTCATATTGGTAAGCGGTTGCCGGTTTGGAGTGCCTCACGAACAATTCATGGAATGCATCAGTAATGTTGCTATTTATGGTAACAATGAGCGTCTTTTCATCCGGGACGTTGTCAACAATGTATGACGAGTCTTCGCCCGGCTTTAAGGTAACGTTCGTACAGCCATCTAACGGAAGTCTTGGAAAAGAAACATTTAAGTTTTTCGGTCCGACAGCAATGTTGTTTTGGTGATTTTGGTCTAGAATGTTGCTTCGAGTTTTCACAAGACTGCGATATTGTCCCAAGCTTGTCAGCGGTAGTTCGCTTGTTATAGAGTAAGCAGTGTCTTTGTTAGCGCCTCCGTTGTAAGGATTCAGGATGACGTAAGAACAGATTGGTTTCCCAATTCTCACGTCTTCTATCTGCCATAAGTCGTCTTGTGACAAGTAAACGGTATCGCATTTATAACCCTCGGCCGGTTGGCTTCCATTGTTTCTTATCTTCCAGCTCACGGTGACATCTGAAAAAATTGTGTAAGGTAATACCGAGGTTAGCCTCGTACGTAGACGTTTCTCGTGACTCATCACTCACTCCGGAAAGATTGTGTGACGAGCCCAAAGAGCATCTGCGTGGAAGACTATAACGAGGAATATACCGACACGACAGCCGTTTTTTTATTATTGTTGTTTCTTCGAGTTCACTGTAAAAGATACTTTGACGGCTACAAATAGTGGCTTTCGAACTGAACACTCTATGTGAGACCAAAGTCCTTGATTTACACTCCTAAGCGAGACAAGGAGCATCGCCGACCTTTTCACATAGGAGTCTCTCTCGGGACATTGTTAGCCTAAAATTTCTCAAAAGCTTACCTTCACCATAATAGAACTGACCACTGGACGAGGAAACAGATAAAACAGCTAAGTCGCTACTGAATGTCTTGTTGATCTTTATTAGCAGGGAAGCCTCGTTGTTCTGTTCGTCACTTTCCCAGATAGTGTTTTTACTGTCCACCAACAATAGCAGGTAATACTCCGAATCAAGAGTGTCAAACGGAATGAAAACCTCGGCGCTCAACGACAACGTGTTGTTCACGGAAAGATAAGTTGCTCTCACAGTCGCAAGTCGCAGGTCAAATGGATCGATCAACAGGTCTTGACTGAGGTACAAAGCATTGTACCACGCTCCCTGTNTCGAGTTTTCACAAGACTGCGATATTGTCCCAAGCTTGTCAGCGGTAGTTCGCTTGTTATAGAGTAAGCAGTGTCTTTGTTAGCGCCTCCGTTGTAAGGATTCAGGATGACGTAAGAACACATCGGTTTCCCAATTCTCACGTCTTCTATCTGCCATAACTCGTCTTGTGACAAGTAAACGGTATCGCATTTATAACCCTCGGCCGGTTGGCTTCCATTGTTTCTGATCTTCCAGCTCACGGTGACATCTGAAAAAAAACTGTGTAAGGTAATGTCGAGGTTAGCCTCGCACGTAAGACGTTTCAGGTGGCTCGTCACGCACTCGGGAAAGATTGCGTGACGAGCCGGCCCAAAGAGCATCTGCGTGGAAGACTATAACGAGGAATATACCGACACGACAGTGTTTTTTATTATTGTTGTTTCTTCGAGTTCACTCTAAAAGATACTTTGACGGCTACAAATAGTGGCTTTCGAACTGAACACTCTATGTGAGATCAAAATCCTTGATTGACACTCCTAAGCGAGACGAGGAGCATCGCCGACCTTTTCACATAGGAGTCTCTCCCGGGACATTGTTAGCCTTAAATTACTCAAAAGCTTACCTTCACCATAATAGAACTGACCACTGGACGAGGAAACAGATAAAACAGCTAAGTCGCTACTGAATGTCTTGTTGATCTTTATTAGCAGGGAAGCCTCGTTGTTCTGTTCGTCACTTTCCCAGATAGTGTTTTTACTGTCCACCAACAATAGCAGGTAATACTCCGAATCAAGAGTGTCAAACGGAATGAAAACCTCGGCGCTCAACGACAACGTGTTGTTCACGGAAAGATAAGTTGCTCTCACAGTCGCAAGTCGCAGGTCAAATGGATCGATCAACAGGTCTTGACTGAGGTACAAAGCATTGTACCACGCTCCCTGTACAGAGAATTCTCCTGCGTTTGTTACGTTGAAAGTCACATTTAATGGCTGGCCACCACGGGTTTCCACTTTTATGCTTCCCAGCGATCCTTGCAGATCTGGTAAGAGACCTTCGGTGATAATAATGCCGGTTGGTGCTGTCGGCGTCACTGTGGGTTGTGTGACGTTAGGTTGTGTGACATTAGGTTGCGTGACATTAGGTTGTGCGCCATTGTTACCCTCATCTATGTCTGGTGGTGTATAGGGACTGTGGATATCTGCAAAGCCGTAGATGAAAGCTGAAGAATCAAACCCACGTGGAATGGAGACATTGGATCTTACTTCGTAAAACGATTGAGCTCCTAATGTGCCAATGTGAGGAAACTCTTTTAACTTTGTCCCTTGCTCCATGACCTCTGTTCTGTTTGCGCCCTTCCTTCTATAAACATAAAGCGCATCAGTCCACGAGGTTTTCTTCGTTGTTACAAACCCCACGTTCTGCACACGAAACGCGATAGGGAAAGGAGTTCCTGAAGTGATCTGAGACGGAAAACTTGAAATAATAGTCAAGATCAACCTAGCCGCAAGGGGAGGTGGAACAGAAAGAATTTGCCTTGCCACGCGGACGTTATTTAAAACGCCTGGAACTTCAGACAAGTTCTTATTTGCGTTTGTAACCGCATGCACGTAAAACTTTCCTCTGATGCTGTTATCAATCTGTAACGCCACGGATAGTCCATACTCTTGTTGCTCATCTAATTTAGCAGTCACGCGTTCAGATGCTAAAACGCGCGCATCTTTGCCATCGATGACGCCTCTTGACCGCGAGATAATCACTCTATCCAGCCAAGAGGCACTCTTACGCATCCAGCTGCCAGTGTTTGCTACAGACCAATACACTGTCAGAAAACGACGTTCTTCTTCAAAAACAAAAGACGTATCGACGACAGCTAAGTCTGGCAAGGGTGCAGGCAGAATTTTTACGCGCATCCATGCTAAGTTGTTTGTCTTTGCGTCCATTTCAACCAGAGAGCCGCCTTCGTTGACTTTTAAAACGAGGAAGTTTGTTCCAGTAATGTTTAACGGTAACTTGACAAGTGAAACGTGGTTGTACCTCCTTCCCGGACCTAGTGATTGTCTATCGAAAAAAACTTTAGTCAACTTGGTCGAGTTGTTTTCAATAGTTGGGGAACTTGATAGATGAACCGTGTCGTGCCAGGATTTGAGTAGAGTGCTTCCTGTCCCGTGATTTTCAACTGTCCAGTTCAACAACACTTGGGAATCGCTAATCAAGGGCTCTTTTGTAGACTCCAGAGTGAAGTTTATCACGACCAAATCCGGTTGAACTAGTGGGAGAGTCACATTTCCAGAAGCTCTGGTGTTGCTCTTTACGTTTTGCTCAGAGACTGTTCCATACACGTTTGTTATAACGTGAACGAACCGCTCCCCAAACACATCCCTGCTGACTCTGATCGGTCCAGTATCCATATTATACTCTTTCCCTGAAGCCAGGTTGACCCTGTGAGGGAAATCTCCCAACCACAGTGCATCCCTTTGTATAAAATTAACCTGCGATGAGAGATAAACTGTGTCATACCAAGGCGCTTCTATTGTATCTCCTGCTCCAACGTTCTCTACCGAAAAAGAGACCCTAACGTACGCCTGCACAGTGTCAGCGGTGGCAGAAACGTTGACATGCGTCACGGTGAGATCGGGCAGCCGTTGCGTGACATTTACCTGCACTGTTTTCTCGTTGTTATCATTAAAGATAAACTCAAACACGTCGTTGTAATAGTCTGTGTAAACAGTGATGTTGTATTGCCCAGTGGGCCAGCTAGCAGGTATCACGTGATACACGGTCCTTGTATACGTCGACGACGGAGGAAACAATCCGGAAAAACCGGGTCTGCCGAGAACTTCCGTGTTCATCGATTGAATGTGAGTAATGGTCTGGACAAAAAAAAAGATTTTAAAAAGTGAGACGTTAGTCGATAAATCTGATTAGTATAAATCTACTAGTGTTCTATCACGAATGCCGTCCTCTGATTGGCTAAACTACTCACTATCTATTCTGTTTTAGTATAAATCTACTAGCGTTCTATCATGAACGCCGTCCTCTGATTGGCCACGCTACTCACTATCTATTCTGTTATAGATAGTGAGTAGCCTAGAAGTGTGCGGTTGTTAACAAAATGGCATTTGCTAATTTGAGTTTTCGAAGTGTCTATGAAGAGGATTGAGACCAATTTTTGAACGACTAGTAGATTTATACTAAAACAATTAGATTTTGCTACGCGTGATAATTAACTCGGGTGAGCCCTCGTCAACTATCACGCGATAGAAATCTCGGACTCAAAGTCTAATTGTTAAATACTACTTGAAGGGTTTTTTGTTATAAGTAATTTTGACCAGTTTTTCGAGTCAAAGATTCCATCATATTCCTTACTCACCACGCGGTCTCTCCACCAATAATGAAACGGTTCTCCGAGTCCTGCGTTTGAGACAATAAACTGAACTTTCATTGTGTCTCCCGTGTAGTAACTCTTCCCAGTTGTGATTGAACTCACCACAAGATCCGGGGGAGGGCTTAACGAAATTTTCAACTCCTGTGAACAAAAAAAAAAAGAAAAACAGAAGATTCCTTGCCTTGCGTTTTCGAGTTCAGCTCTGATTTTAAAAAGGTGAGTCAGCACATAGTTGGTACAATAATCCTTTCTAATGAAGTGGCCGTTTACGTCAGGTTCAGCGAAGTAAGTAAATAAGTAAGTAAGTAAACAAGCAAACAAGCAAGTAAGCAAACAAGCAAGTAAGCAAGCAAGCAAGTAGGCAGCCAGGCAGCCAGACAGTCAGGCAGTCAGGCAGGCAGGCAGGCAGGCAGGCTGGGTTATCATATGTAAAGTGCGATTAACATTCGGTACGTAGCTGTTCGAGACAACTCGACTCCACTCCAAAAGACGACTCCACTCCAAAAGACCTCCTGCTAGTTTTTCACTTTGAGGGAGCATTTGTGTTAACACTAACTACATCCTCAGTTTATATTTAAAGGAACAGACAGCGGACTGCGCTAGACGGGGGAAAACTTCAAACGTTAATCAAATTACCTGGGCTTTGAGATTGTCGTCCTCGTCATTATGCTCGTAGACATCATTATAAATATCTGTCATTACCAAGATGGAGAAATTACCGAAGATTGCGTTAGGTAACGTGACGGGTTGCATTCGGGTGTAGCTTGCACCAACTGCCAGCAGGCCACGATGGTAAAACGTAGCGAGACGCCAGTCAGACCAGTCTAACCAGATGAAAACAAAATTTGTTAGTTTGTTCTAGATTTCGATCTCAAGTCTGGAAACGGGTCTTTTTCTAGAGTTGCAGATCAACGACATCAATAAAATGACAAAATAGCGATATTCGTAAACGGTTTTATCTGTAGTCATTGTAATTGTTGGTCTTACAGAGAGCTCTAGTAAGTTTGTTTCCAATAAAACTCCGGCTTACGCTTTCGTCTTTCCAACGCTTGTCAATCAAGTGGTATTGGGAACGGTGAATAATCCCGAGATTTGGAAATGTTTTTATTTCAATCGACAGTGTAGAAATGTAACAGGTGAGATCGTCAGCTTATGGTTGACGAGTTTAGTGATTATTTAGAAAAACGGTATACGAAATGTTTTATTAACTTGAATGTAGATCTGAAGACATGATTGATCATTGCACTGGGATGGTCAATCATGTCTTCATATCGTTCTCCGCAGTTCAAATATATAATGTTTCATATATTCACTTGTAATGTAGATATCGTCAGTTAGATACCAACCTCGCTTGTCATCCTTGGACAGGTACACTCTGTCGTACCACGAACCATGCGCAGTCACACCCATCCCATAGTTCTTTACGGTCCAGGCTATGTTGATCGATTTGCCTTTGGGAAAGCAAAATACGAGATAAATTTACACAGGAGCCCATTACACGGAGCCTCCATCTCCTATACTAACCCTGCGAGTCAACCCTTTTCGTATCTGTCTATTTTTAGAAACAGCTCTTGTGGGAGTTTTCACACGAACCCTTTTCAATACCCAATGATACTCGAGTTAAGACCATTCTTTGTTACAACAAAGACTGAGATCCCACTTTTGCCCTCTATTTTGCATTTTCTATCTGCAGAAACAAGACATTTCGTGGGAAACCAAGATCAAGAGACCCTTGAGCTGTGGCCTCATGGTTAGCGCACTCGATTCCAGAGCGGTCTGGGTTCGAGTCCTGGCCGGGTGTTCTTGGGTAAGTGCCTCTCTCCACCCAGATGTGAAAATGGGTACCGGCGAATTTAATGCTGGGGATAACCCTGCGATAGACTAGCATTCTATCCAGGGGGGGCGTGGAAATACTCTTAGTCGCTTCCTAATAAAGAAACCGGATATAAGCTGCGGCTGTATGGGCCACTGACGCAGACTTTCCTTCACCTGGACCCCGTTATATTATCTCGAAAAATAGGTGTGGTAAAGGAATTTCTTGAGTTTTGTCACACTCCCATCTCTTATTATCCGTCGGTTTCTTTTTATTGGGGGGGGGGAGGGAAGGTAGCGTTTTGTTGTGAGAGGTATTTCACTGGGATTGAAATACAGCGTGAACTGAACTTATATGGACGTGGGGTATTTTTCAAGTCACGTTTGCTTTTCTTTATACATAATGTATGCGTATTTAATTGGTAGGTGTTAAAGAAAGCACCTTTTTTCAGCCCCCCATAACTTATCCCAGGACGCTCCAGATTTGCAACAACTGATCAGCGGGAGGGCTACTGGCATTAAATTTAATTCCTCACCTGAGAAAGACGGACTCGGAAACACAATCTTCTCCACTTTGAGGTTAGGAGGCGGGGTGAGAGACACTTGAACCGGACTGTCAGCTAACAGCATATCATTAGAACGGTCGATATCACTTATCTGCAAAACAACGAAAACATTGACGCATTCCTCTTTGATAGTTTCACGAAAATGAAGAGGATTTTAATAAACACTTACCCTGTTGTACCTGTCAATGTCTACGAAAACATAAAACACGCCGAACTCGTTTACTCGAAGTTGAACTCTTCCCTTAGCAGTATAGCCATCATTTTGAAAGAGAATCTCTCTGTGTGGCACAGATGTTGCGAACCTGACAAAAATAAACAGGTGTAGTTACCGATAGGAAAACACACATCATGTTCTTTTTTCCACCAAAA